CGCGAATGAACGGCATGTCATTCCTTGGCCTCGGTATGAAGGGCGAGGCGGAAACCGCTGAGGAATTTGGATGCACAAGGTAGCTCGAAACGAGCGGTATACATAAAAACCAGCAGACATTCAGCTGTTTTTTATTAGACAGGAATTAGCGTAATCTTTTATACACATATAACTACCGCGCACACGCCGTTTTTAACTTTACTTATCCGTCAATCTCGGTGAATGAAACTCGGTAGATTATAGTCAGATACTTTCAGAACTTTTAGACGCATTCTTTGAATTTCCGTTAATTGTTAGAAGGATTCCTAAAGTTGAAATTTGAATCTCTTTGAATCTCAGTTGAGAATAAAAGAATTTGCACGAATAAATTGCTTTACGTCGAGTTTCTTCACTTCCAGATAAGTCGCGGATAATTTTATCCAGAAGATATCTCCATTGTATTCCGGGAGATATCTATCTCCTGGATAGAGGTTATCTATAGAGGTGAAGAAATTAGAGTGTAAAATAAATAAGAATCTTCCTCTCCTCGTACTCTACGTAAAACACTTAAAGTAAAAGCGTGAAAATTGCATACGTTCACGAGATATCACATTATCGTCGAGATTATAATTTCTTCTACAATTTAATCAATTCGTTAAGTTTTTTTCGTACTACTAATTACAGTGGACAGTGATGGACAATTTAATTAATAGCCATACATTAGTGTCGGTTGATATTAGTAGAGCCAGTTCTATCCTTACTATATCTTTTACTAGAAAAGATCGCGAATTCGTTCTCGAACAATGCGGCTGCTTCGGGAGATGAGATGAGAAAGTACGAGTAAGGAGGAGAGCGCCGACTAGGATCGGGCAAAGGTAAGAGAGAACGCAAAGAAGAATTGTGGGAAAGGAGAGAAAATTGCAAAACGACATACCGTGCGACCGCACACACCGAGAGTATAATTCTATGGTGCGGCTTAAAGCCGCGCGCAATTTGGCCTCACGCCAACGTTTAAAATGTGTTACAACACTAACATCCTGGCGGGAGTAATTCATATTTTTTTTTTTTTTTTTTTTTTTTTTTTTAAAAAAAGCGACTATAATTATAACTGCACGTATATAGAATAAAAATTGTAAGCAAAAGTTCAAGGTATACATAGATAGATAGGTTCTTTGTCCAAAATCTCTGCACAGAAACAAAAATTCTTACAAGACTCTGTTCTTCATTTCTTTTTTCGATGCTTGTCGACTAAAGCTATATTTACTTAAAATCCTATTTCATTAATCTATTATATTTTTATTAATTTATATACATTATATGGTATTATAATGGTATATTATATCCCTCATCAGAACCATTTGAAAGCCAGTGTTGCTCGTAATTGTCGGCTTTACGACTCTTGTTCGTTGCACGCGTACACGTGATCCTGTTTGCGAAGAGTGTTAATATGTGATTTACACGAGAAGATGGAATTATCGCCGCCGTCGATACCGCCAGCCAAGAGACGAGGAAACGAGTCGTTATGCGGTTAACGCGTGAATACGATGCCACACGCTGCCACTTTGTGGGGAAAATCTCAGGGGTTTGACGTTCTCCGCAGAGTGGAGCCTCCGGAGTGCAGGAGGAGGTAAACCAGAACGTATACTGCGGATATTAAAGCTGAAACGCGCGCGTCTCATATTCCCGAATGGAGAAACTAAAAAAAGCTGACCCCGCGCACAAATCGGATCGCGACAGAACAGGACACCAGAGTGCTTCCTCCTCCTCCTCCTTTTCTTCCTCGCAGGATATCGTCGCGGACTGATCGTCAAACTTAGGACCAAGTATCGTGTTGCTTATGAGGGATCATCTTTGTGAACGCGAGAATGTTAATTTGCGGACACCACGTATCTAAAAATTCGAAACTGATAGATTTTCAGAGACGTCGCAGCATTGTCGTCCTGGCTTTAAAGAGAGAGTTTCCAAATATATTATTACATTTAGTAAAATTTATATATTACTACACAAAAATACAGCTGAAGCTAAATAAATAAAATTTAAGTGATAGCTAAACTTTATGTTTATTTAGCTTCAGCTGTATTTTTGTTTATAATATTTTATGTATATTGTATAATGGTGCTCTTTTATATTGAAAAATTAATTTTTTTTTGCAGAGATCGAACAATAAATTTTACTATCGTAGATAAGTATGCTAGAATAAAGATATGACTAGATTGATATGTTTATTCTACAAGTTTGTGTCAAATTTTTTTAACGCATGTTTTAAATATATTGACCTGCAATTAAAATATTCGATATATGTTTAAAATATAGCACACGACATATAAAACATTTATTTAAATTACCCAACTGTGCAAGGAGGACGAATGGAAAACAGGAGTTCCATTTAAAGAAAAAACTGATATCAATATGCGAAGAGAAAAAGAGCACTCGAATGTCCTCGGGAATGCATTCCTGCCGTTGACACAATACACCTGTCGCGAATCTACAGAGATTGTATTTGTTATCGCGATGAAACGCGCATCACTGTCGGCATTGGCAAGTACAAGTAACAATCGGCTGAATTTCAAGAAGTTTTACGCTTAAATATTCGATTTTCGTCGCTTTCGCTATTTTCTGACTTTAATGTCCGCCCGCCATGCGAGCGGATTGTCCTCTCCGGTAAACGACAAATCCGGTAAACCCGTCTCGACATGCTTCTTAATAATGCGACCTTGAATTCCAGAGCCTTCGTGTTACATTCTCGTCATCGGGACTCAATTCACTGACAGAGTGCATCCGCCCAATGTGTTAGGATCGATGCAATAGGAATTCGTCGACGGAATGTCACGGAACGTGATAAAACAACAGCGCCATTTTCGTTTCCAAACTAATTTTATGACCTACGCGTGACTGCCTCAGAATGCAGCGCGTTGTAAGATAAATGAACGGCCTGTTGGTCTAACGATGATAATATAATAATGGAGGGAGAGAGAGAGAGAGAGAGAGAGAGAGAGAGAGAGAGAGAGAGAGAGCACGTGGTGAAGACACGCGCGTGTTTGTTCGATCGGAAAAAATAGGTCGTGTATAAGCAACGTTTGGCGGGGATACGAAACGACCGAAACGGCATGAACTCTTACGGCGATGATGTAAGGCACGAACTAATCTCGTTCGTGACCTCATTATTACGTTCCTGTTTTTTCCTCCTCTTTCTTCATTTTGCAAATTACACAGGGCTGACAGCACGCTATCTTGCGAACTTGGTCAGCTGAAAGTTCGTAGATCGCGATGTCGCCGCTTTTTTCCCATGACATGATAATAGAGTGTAGTTCTACAATCCGACCAGTCCGACCAGTTTTACGCGATCAAAAGTCTATTTGTATTTTTAAATGATACGTAACAGATAATAGTTGCGACATTCCTGTAATAATTCCTGTCCATTTTCTTGTTTATATTCTAAATAATTTGTTAGAAAAAAGACTTTTAATAGCAGCCGTTCTAAATTATCGAATTTATATATCCAGTACGCTACGTGAGTATATATCGATCAGATTTTTCACAGAAGCAGCTTGCCGATCTAAAAATGTCTCTTACAGAAATAAGACACTTTTTAATTCAATTATTATGTTCTAAACTGGGTCATTGATTTGAGTGTGAAAATGAAATAAAGATTAACACGATCGGAGTCGGTATTGAAAAAGTAGACGCATTTACTTCAGTTCTGTATTTTGTAATATTTAATATGTAATATTTAATGCTAGGTGAGTTTTCTTAATTCATCGATTAATGAATTTTACGAAACAAAGTTGTATTTCGTATAATTCACCCGATCAATTGATGAATTAAAAAACTCGCCCCTGTTATTTTTCGAACATAAAACAATTTTTTTAATGAACAAAACGGGTAACACTGAATTTTCCATGTTATATTTGTTTAAAAGGAAAACCTTGTTTATTTTAGGAAAGAATTAGAAAAAAAAAACTGTCTTAAGGTTTTGAAAGAAATATAATATAGAACAATTAAATCGATATAATACAATTACAACAGTCATTAGTTAATTTATTTTAATTGCTCGAAAGTGTGGCCTAATATACTATTAACATAAAAAATTAACCTTAATCCCGGTTTAATTTATCTCAGATTTATCTTTTCTAATTCGAGAAAAAGGTACGAAAAAATTGAGAATTTTATGTTGGCAGAATTCTGGGTTGAGCCTAAATCGATTACCGGAGTTGCTCGCGATACGTTTGAATGCAAATAATCAAAACATACCGAGACTCACGCTCCAATCGAGAGTTATTTTTCAAATTAGAAATCGAATGAGAGACCGCGATCGAAAGATATACGATTTCAACGTGAATGCACGCGAACGTTGCGCCGCACTGTGCCGCGCCGTGCTTTTGCCATCATTCGAGCGCGAACGCCGCGCGCTAACGGAACATCCATTAATAAATTTCTCAATAAGAATTGATTGACGTACAAAAAGCGGCTTCGCGCACAAAAGACGCAATGATACACGAGAGGCTCTGTCACGCGTATTCTCGCGCGCTAACGGAACATTTTTGCGTTCTCTCACGTTCATATAGGACGACGCGGGAGACGTTTGTGACATTTCAGCCTGACGAATGCGGGAAGCGTGACGGATGATCGGATAAATTAAAGAGAAGGAAATAAAAAAGAAAAGAAAAAATGTGGACCTAGACGGAATTCATGTTCATGCATTTATATACGGGGTTACAGAAGTCTGGACTCACGAAATTATACCGGTTTCGGTATGCCGAGAGAGGAGCACGGGATGCTGCGCGAGCGCGACGGAGAGGCGGCAGCGAGTGAAACGGAGAAAGAGAAAAAGTGAGAGATTTCAGTGGCTCTCGCGCGTCTATTCGCGGCAATTTGTTGAAAGGAATATCAAAAACGTGCGCTGTCTCACGAGAAAGAGAGAAAACACGGATAGAGGTGAGGAAGGAGGAAGAAAAGAGAGGAGCAGCGAAAGGGCTCGGAGCTGTCCCTGATAAGTGAAACCGGGCGGGCAGCTAACTTACCTCGTGCCATATTCCGCTATAGGCTTGTACACCGTCGTTTCCGATCGTTTCCTTACGACGTCGACGACGACGAGGGAGAAAAGAAGTCGAGATCGCACGTACAAATCCTCTTGGTGAAAAGATGGAAAAATCCTTAATCCGATACTTGTTTGCGACGGGCCGCCTCTCTTCTTGTTTTTTTTTTTTTTTTTTCCTTTTTTTTTTTCCTCCTTTTCACGGCTATCCGCAGACAGCACTCGCGCACGTTGTTTTTCAAATTTTCAAACTCACACACACGCGCGCGCGCGCGCGCGCAAACGCAAGACGCGAAAAACGTTAAAAGCCCATAAAACACACACTCACGGGAGATCCGCGCGCGGGGACGCACGCACGTGAGAGGATGCCCGAACCAGCAGCCAGCCAACCAAGCAACCAACCGACCGACTAACCAGCCAGCCAGCCAACGGGGCTGCCCGCATACCGACCGCACACACGCGCAGACTCGACAACGGGTTTCTCACGGGGCGAAACGTCAACCGACACTCGGTTCGCGAGAGCGGCAGCTGCTAGATCTCGTAGCCGGCGCGGCGCGGCGCGGCGCACGCACGTCACGTCACGTCACGCTGCACGCTCGCACACCAACCGAACCGGCCGAACGACCAGCACGGACTGACTTGGACCGACTCGGCTCGCTGGCCCGTCCTCGTCGCGCTCACGACCGTTTCGCGATGGCGGGGACACCCACTGTATCAGAGGAACTCTTAGCTCGTACTGCTCGTTTCTACTTAATGTCGATTTCAATGCTTATTATAATTATGTGTGAACTTTACTACATACGCAGTATATAAAATTCACACATGATTATATAATAAACATTGTGATCCAGCTTGACCGTTATTGGCTTCCTTCTTCTTGTTTATTGTTTATCAATTGTATGTGGTTCTAAAAAGTTTTTAATATTTGTTAATGTAGATTTACTTCAATTTCGATTCACAACTGATGCTCTTTTATTATCTTTCTTTTATTAGGCTCGATGCCACAAATGTGAGATCAATTTATAACTGTTTGTGACTCGATTTATAACTGTTATTAATTCTTTTTATGGCCGTTTCTACCATCGTAGATTGAATTTTAGTTATTAAGTGCTAATGTATTTTAATTTCGAGTTTAATCGTGGTTCAACTAACTCTTCATTTTTTCTAGTTCTAAGAATGAAAAAAAAATAAAGAGCAAGTCGAAGATTAAAGTTAATGCACATTGGTGAAGGCAGGTACAAAGTCTTATAAATCCAAATCAAGACAAAATTAGGCGAATAAAATTGAATTTATTTTTTTTTAATCGGGCCTTTTTTTTTTATCAATAGTCGCTTTGCGACAGGGTGTCGATAGCGTTTAATCAATGGATATGAATCAACCGTAACTTTATTTTGTAATAGAATCGCTTTTTTTTACAGCAAAATGTTTTGTTCTTCATTGAAGTATAATGAATACACGTAAACGATAATATAATGCGCATCATGGATATTTATCGTAATCGTACATCAATCAAAAATATTAAAATTATATATATATATATATATCTGTTTTTTTTTCTCCCGAAGAGGATAATTTACAACATACACCTTTTTTTTTTTAATCCTTATATCTTAGAGCTAACCGACGATTGGGTGCTTTCTTTCAAATTCACATGTTTTACATGTGGGTGTAATAGCGTTGGATCTTTATCACGCATATTCTTCTATAAACAAGTTGTATGCCGTATGCTTCTCAGTTATCACGCTACAAATTTCTAAATTTGTATTACAAGACATATAACGCTTAATCATAATAGTCGTTATCCTACAATCAAAGTTAAACCAACAAAGATACAGTGCACATTGGTATGCATGTTAAAGAAAGCCGTTGTTGTTTATTTATGCTCGGTATCTATAAAACTTACGTAAACCGTATTATAGAACGGATCGTCAAACCGTACTCTTCGAATATAACGCGGATCCCGCCAATACTCCAACATATATCTCATTTGCGTACAACATATTTATATATATGTGTGTGTGTGTGTATATATATATATATATATGTATGTGTTATATATATACGAGTTATATATACATACATACATGTGTATAAAATAATTACGAAATTCGTGCAGCAAAAATCATTCACTCCCAATGAATTTCAACGTTCGGTCGTTCCTTTATTGAGAACGTACAAATAACATACCTTGCTATAAGATTACAAGTATCAGGATATCTGAAAGCAAAAGGGATGATTGACTGTACTGCGAATACACTCTCGATCAATCGATGAAGCCGAGAAAGCGAGTTTGTTAAATAGCGGCAATCTATATTTTCCATGCGGGTTCCGTTCATACTCCTAAGAAACGTCGTAAAGATATTACGCGGTAATGAACTGTGTTGTGAATATTATCGTATTACAATCTACGCATAATTAGCTCGACATTTGAACAAAATTTACACGGAAAAATGACATCGATTACGAGCTATAATCGATTTCCTGTGTTCCAAGATTTTCGTCAACTATCTTTCCTCTCTTATTCTGATTATTTAAATTTCTGTTCTTCAAAGGGTCATGATATACGATTCATTTATTTACATGAAAATACTTAAGTATCCACTCTTCTTGCCCCCGCCAATATTGAAACACTATAGATAACTGTAGTTTAAATCACACAAAACAAAAGATATGTATTTTATAATGTAAGCGTACAAAAGGGATGAAAGGAATCGATTTTTAAGTTTTAAACGTATTTCGTCGAAACAATAACGAGTGTAAATTCTATTCTAAAGCACATATAAAAGTAAGAGCACATATAAAAAAAATATATATATATATCTCTTATACTTTTTATCTCTACAACATACCTAAAACTGAAGAATGGGGGGAGGCAGAGGAAGAATACTTGCAAGTTAATTTTTTCGTTAATCATATATTTTAGGATTTTTTTTATTTCTATCATAATATGAATATTCTTCCACATCCCGAATTTCCTATATACAAGATGCCAAAACGAAGTGTCAAATTCGGATTTTTTGTTTGACAGATTTGTCGTCCTATTAAACTATTTGTTAATTCCTTGTTTCTAAAATACAACATTCACGAAACTAATTTTTGCGGTGTGTCCTACTGTATTATTTATATTTATATTTGGACAACTAATGTAATTGTGAAAATATAAATTATAAAATTGTGAAACTATCAGAGCAGTAATACATGCGTGGAATCAATATTAATATCAAAAATTTAAAGAAAATATTGATATAATAATGCATTGTCATTGTAGAAAACTAGTTTCGTGACTGTAATATTCTCCATTACTCATTACTTCATCATTCAAATTACCATATGATGCGATTATATGTTCACAAGTTGTGAGAAAGTAGGTGAAAGCTGAAACGTGCAACATTTCCATCCTATGCATATGTAGAATTGCGATTGAAAAAAAGGAATAGAGGAAAAATAGTTGATTCAAATGATCTGAGAGCATAGGAAATTGATTGTATGTAGAGCACACTGAAGAGGATACACGGACAAAGAACCAAGAAGAGAGATTCAAAAAAGTGACCAACTGATCGCGAAACAAGTAATAATGACCATCAATATTTTTCTATTTATCCTCTAAACACAGACAAATCTGAATCTAAATAAGAAAAACTGCAAATTGAACGAGTGAGTAGTGTGTATTCCGTTAAGACTGAGAAAAAGGGAGCAGAGGAAGGAGGGAGGATATAAGTTTATAATTTTTGACAGCCAGTTACCTCAAATATCTCTTACGTACATTAACATAAGAGGTAAATAAGGATAAAATTAAAGGTAATATTGGAATAACAGTATTGCGGATTGGTGGTTAGCTCATAGACACTTGTCCATTGGAGAGTAGTCTCTCAACAGCAGCGTTTATGTCTCCGAACGTTGCAATTAACGCTGAAAAATAAAAAAGAGACATCACGTCTTAGGCAGTAATTAAATGTAAAAGATTAGAATAATAATAGGTTCTTATATTAAATAAAAAATATTATTATAAATATTCGTAATATCAAACATTATTTAATTTAAATGATTGAGATAAGGCTCAATATGTATTAAACAACTAATATAGGAGATAAGGGCAAGAGCCATTATTTATATTATTTAATTTATTATATTATTTAATATATTATTTAATTTTAACATCAAAATATAACGTTTGTGTGAACGATATCACATCAGAAATATAATGTAAATAGGATAAAGTTGTACATTTTTAAAAATATATAATAATTATTAAATAAAATAAAAATAAGTAGAATAAAAAAATTAGACAAAAAAGTAAAATTGCATTGTTAGGATGATTCTTACCTTGTAAATTAGCATCTCTATTAAGAAAACCCATAGCTGTAAGTTGCTCTAACTGTGCTCTGTAACGTTCCTCTGGTGGAGGTACAGGTTGACCATCAACTTCTACACCTTGATTTAATGCCATAGCAGAAACCTAATCCACATAAATGAAATATAATTTGGTATACTCTAGTATGTCATACTTATACAAGGAATACACCTTTAAGAACGTTAAATAATCAAATAAATATGGAGAATGACTCTTATTATACCGAAATGCTACAATTATACATATATTTTTTTAATGCACATTATTAAAGACTGTATTATTTTGAAAGAACATTGTTACATATTTAATTTAATTTAATTACTTTAAGAAGGATACTCTATTCCAAAATTGTTTTTCGAGAAGAAAATTGGATTATTTTGAAAGTTAAATCGTTGTTCTTACCATGCGTGCCATGAATTGAGAAAACGCGTCTTGCTGATTGCTGTCCGATGATTGAGTAGTTGGTACACTGGAATTGGTACCGCCTGTGTTCGATGTTGTCGGTGCAGGTGGGACTGTAAGGCCCATACTAAACATACACACACATACGTTTGTACTTATATAATCACGTTCTTAAAATTAAGATATTAATTTGTAAAACAAATAGTACAGTGAATATAAAAAACCTTACTTCTCCACGAGTTCAGGAGCGACGGTGCGCAGTTGCTCCATACCCCGCTGAATCTGCATAATGGCAGCTAGAGCGTCAGGATTAGTGACAACGCTCTGTATCTGTGGATTTTGCATTTGTTGTATGAAGGCGGGCATCATCGCACGCATTTGCTCTTGCATTTGCGGATTACCACGGAGAAACGGATTTGCTGAGATTACCCGACTGGCCATCGCCGGATCAGCTGCCATTGCTTCCAATATGGATCTCGTATACGGAGCATTCAGCATGTTTCGCATTAACTGTGGATTCTCTATCATCTGTGCCGTGAGACTCTGCATACCTGGTGAATCTAACAAACCTCTGCCTTGATTCTGTTGTACTGTACCACTGTCGTTCTGGCTTTGATTCCACGGGTTCGGTAATGGATCCCGATTTTCCTGACCCTGCTGTGGATTCTGCAAGTCCTGATTGGAACTGTTTTCCACTAGAGCGGCGAAAGGATTACGACCAATCGTTGCTGCTGCTAACATTGGCTCCTGGATATCACGATACATACGACGTAGAGCGCTATAACCTCCAGGTATGCTTTCTAGATTAGACAGAGCTCGATCGTGCGAACGCATCAGTTCTTGCAACATTGATGGGTTACGTGCCAATTCCATCGTTTGTCTATAAATCAATTTTCATAAATAATATTGTATAATACAATATTGCACAATGATATCTTGTTTTTAAATTGCAATTTAAAATATTGACTCAGCAATTAACTTCAAGATATAAAGGGAAAAAATGTATCTAAAAGTTGAGAAATGTAAAGTGCTAGGAAAATGTAAACTGTAACTAGTTTTCAATTTAAAAAAGAAGTGCAAAAGAAAATATAATTAAAGATAAATTTTTGAAATATGGTCTTTAAATACTGTGAAATATATGCAATTTATAAATCAAGAGGAGGTTAAAAAGAAATATTACGGTTTGACTATTGTATTCAAATTAGCTTTTAAGTAAATTCTAATTATAATTTAAGGTTACCTACCGTAAAAGTTCAGGGTTATTTAACATGTGACTGATTTCTGGATTACGTTGCATCAATTCTTGCATTTGGGGATTGGCGGTAACCAAATTGCGCATATTTTCTGGGTCGTTCATTAAACTCTGAACTAATGGATTATCGAGTACTTGTCGCATTGTTTCTGGATTTGAGAGCAATTCTCGTTGCATGCGTTGCTGTAAGTCTATGAAATTAGCTGAGCCTAAGCCAAGGGACTCTAATCCCATCAATCCACCCAAGCTCCCTAAACCAAATGGACTGGCACTAACATCAGCTGTAATTTATACACAGCTCATATAAGTCAATATAAATATTTATAATATAATTTTGTAATATTATTATACACTTCCTCATATATTATAAATGCACATGTTTACAAATTAAAAACTTAAGTATTTTCATTAAATAATCCTTCTTAATGGTATTAATCAAATTGTAATTCTAAATAGAAAAGATCTAATCTAAAACTTATTGCAATAAAATTTTTTTAATTTCTAAATTAAATTTGTAAATATTTTACATTTTTTAAGAAACCTTTTTAGATATATTATAAAGTATTCACGTGTCATCTATAGCTGACAAAAAGGTAATATGATGATGACAAAAAATTCCATTATTTATTCTAATACTCATCTACATACGTAGGTATATTAATAACTGGAATATTTAAAGAACACAGACTCCACGACGCACACTTGGTATATGTTCCATAGTATTGTTGTTTAATTTTATTGTTGTATTTGATTAAATTCAAGTGTGCTTGACAGAATACCTTGTGGTCTCGAGGCCGGATTGTTGGGCTCCTGATTGGTAGCTGCAGTGCGTGGAGCCTTGATCACCAGATGCACCGCCAGGCCGTCCTTGATGTTGTGAGTGCTGAGAGTCTCATGATCCTTCATGATCTTGCCGGCGAAGATGAGGCACAGCTGATCGGCCTGTGCGTTAAACTTCTTGGAAACCGCCTCCTTAAACTGTCGGCGCGTCCGACGAAAAGAGGGGAGGAGGGGGGGGGGGTAGAGAGGAAAAAAAGAAACAAACACAAGATTAGAGATGTCGAACTAACCAAATCGGTTTGACAGCTGATGCTTGGCGCAATGCCAAGGGGGCGGCGATTACGCCGCGAACGGTACCGAGAAGGACGAGGCTTGCTATCGCCATCGTCATTGCTCCGAACTTACTTCTTTTATCGTCGCATTCTCCTCGATCTCCACGCTCTGCTTTTCCTTCGGGGTTTTCACGTTGATGATGATCTTTTTTGGGCCACCCTCCTGCTGGCCTTCTGCCATCTTGGATCGGTAGATGACTCGTTACTTTCGACGCTCGCGCGATACTCGGTACGCTTCGTTCAGTCTATCCGTCTCTCTTTGTCCTTTTCGCTTCTCTGTCTCTCTCGCTCAATCTCACGACCGCGGAATTGCGCACCGACGACACCCGCGACACGACGGCGACGACACTCCCTCGCTCTCGCCTCGCCTCGCGGTCCGCTAGTCCGTTGCGCCCGACGCAACGGCGAGGAACTATTACACTATTACAATATATACAATACCGAAACTCTCCCGATTCCAGTAATTTCCAGCGTGTACAATATTAAACTGCACATGCGCGAGTATGCGTGAGCTAAAGCTCATGGCACGTCCACGTATGTTGTACGAAAACTTAAGCCGATTCGCACATGAAATGTATATTAATGGAGCATAAACATAATATAAAGGCGTAATCACACTACGAGTTGGGCTCCGTTGCAATTGGCATTATGGTTAAAGCGGGGAGCACAGACTTTTGCATAACGCATAAACCATATACATAAAGAATTTGATTGGTCCATTGACTCATGCATAAGAAAATGGACCAATGAAATTCCTTATGCACATGCTTTATGCGTTATGTAAAAGTCTGTGCTCCCCGCTTAAGGCCTATAGCACATGAAATGCATAACTGTGCATAAGCATAACATAAGGCCTGGACCAATGAGCATCTTATGTTAAGCGGGGAGCACAGGACTTTAAGCACATGAAATGCATAACTGTACATAAGCATAACATAAGGCCTGGACCAATGAGCATCTTATGTTAAGCGGGGAGCACAGGACTTTTGCATAACGCATAAACTATATACATAAAGAATTTGATTGGTCCATTGACTCATGCATAAGAAAATGGGCCAATGAAATTCCTTATGCACATGCTTTATGCGTTATGCAAAAGTTTGTGTTGGGGCTCTTAATCAATATGGCGTGTTTATGCTGGATGCTCATTGGTCTAGCGGCCTTATGTTATGCTTATGCACAGTTATGCATTTCATGTGCGATAGGCCTAAGAGCCCCCCTAGACCCCTTTAATCCGGGCCTGGCTTGAACGCACTCGGCCGTGTTCGGAAATTCACTGCTAAGTACTAAAAATCTATAGTGCACGTTACGTATACTATAGATTTTCAATCTGGCAGTGCATTTCCGAACACAGCTCTCATTGGCTATGTTCAGCAGACTCAACAGTTCAGGGAGCGCTCGCTGTTATTGGTGTATTCTTTTAGATCATTCAATCAAATTTTAAATCTTGAAGAATACACCAATAACAGAGAACGCTCACTCAACTATTGAGTCTGCTGGGATGCGTTCAGAAATTACACTCAGATAACTCTTGGGTGCATTTTTGATATAATATACGTAACGTAAACTATAGCCTAGAGTTACCTAGGCGTAATTTCTGAACGCAGCCCTGAATGTAGCCATTGGTCGCGTTCATTGGCCTGTTCTTTTCGCCTGCACTGTCTGAACTGGTACATACAGTGCAATAAGTTGAAATGAAACAAACGTATATCTGTTTCACTTCAACTTATTGCACTCTGTGTACCAGTTCGGTAAAAAGAACAGGCCTCATCAGATTCAACTGTTGTGGAGCGGATCTGTGAACGCTCGCTGCTATTGGATGATCTGAAAGAATATACCAATAGCAGCGAGCGCTCACGGATCCGCTCCGCAACAGTTGAGTCTGCTGAACATGACCATTGGTTTATACATCTAGATCCAGTCAGAAACTAAGGGAAAGACAAATGAGATTAAAAAAGTGTTTACAATAGCTGCTTTTTCTGCTGATACACAGCCAATGCTCGTGACTTCGTGAGAATTGAGAATCGTGAATTCGTGAGCAATTGTGAGTAATAGCAAGCAATAGCAAGTCAGCAAGCGTTGTGTTTGGAGAATTAAATCAGTGTAAATTTGTAACTCGTGAGGGTTGGGTAGAACGCGTCTCTTGTCTTTAGTTTTGACGTTTTTGACCGTATCCTCGATTTCTTAAATTATAAAGAGCTATTTAAAAGAAAAAGAAGAACATTAAGAAAGTAAAGGTCAAGTGAAGAATAATAAGGTTCTATACAAATTGGTACAAATGTCGTGACGGTGACTCGTGACAGTCGTGACTTGTTAAAATTCATGTTGCTGCTATAGAAAAAAATCCTATAAAAAAAATCGCCGAAAGTATCAACAAACTCCAAACATGGTAAGAAAACTGAAGAAATAATTAAAATCAATGATTCTACCAGAGTAACCAGGGAAACGGCAAAAATCATGCCAAAATTTGTTTTCCAGAAACAGAGTAATTGAGGTTAACAATTTAACATAACAATGGTTGACTTTTTAGTTTCAGTTCGGGTTTAACATGTTCCCGGAGATTCCGCGGCCCTTCAACACCCAGTACAAATGCTTTTCAGTGTCAATGTTGCCTGGAACCTATCGCCAGGATGTTGAACGTGGCGGCAAGAGTGAGTACCAACTGGCAATTAGATAAAAGCAGAAAAAAAGCTTTGAATTCATCTGTTTACTTTTTAGTAATTATGCCACCATCTGCCCTGGAGCAGCTTACAAGGCTTAATATTATTTATCCAATGCTATTTAAACTAACCAACAAGAAAACAAATAGAATTACTCATTGTGGTGTACTAGAGTTTATCGCCGATGAAGGAAAAGTCTATTTGCCTTATTGGGTTAGTGAAGAAAACCTGTTTTAACATACATATGTATCGATGATAAATAAATATTAATATTTATTAATTATTAAATAATAAATAATTATTTTCTTTCATAGATGATGCATAATCTTTTACTGGAAGAAGGCGAGTTACTGAATGTAGAGAGTGTGTCATTACCAGTTGCAACATTCTCTCGTTTTCAGCCACAGTCAGAGGATTTTCTAGATATCACAAACCCAAAGGCTGTATTAGAGAATGGTCTGCGCAGCTTTGCCTGTCTAACTACAGGCGATGTGATTGCAATTAAATATAATCAAAAAATTTACGAGATGTGTGTGCTCGAAACCAAACCTGGTCCAGCAGTTAGTATCATTGAATGTGATATGAATGTGGAGTTTGCTCCACCAGTAGGCTATAAAGAACCAGTACGAGAGCCAAAGAAGGAAGAGGATGAAATAGAGCATCTGGCAGATTTGATGCCGGCGCAGACTGGCTTTGTACCTTTTCAGGGTGAAGGTGTCCGGTTAGATGGTAAAAAACGCAAAGATATGCCCAAGCAAGAAACTGTAACCACTAAGCCAACCTACGTTCGCGGAATACCCGATTATGATTACCAAATAGGCACTCTCAGGTTCCTGCGAAACATGAAGCCAGTGAATAATAAGGAGGTAAAAACTTTAGTTGAAGTTCTCTGATATATAGAATTATAAATAAAATTTTGTTTCAAACATTGTCGTGAAATATAGATCTGTAACTTATAGTAATTTATAATAACTTCACATAATATCACATGTAATCGTCTTACAATTAGTATTATGAATCATTTATATTCTTTTAGACAAAAGATCCAGACGAGTTTAAGGCATTTACTGGCGAAGGGTTCACACTTCTAAGAAAATCCAGAAAATGATAAAATAATGAGTAATTATTTATTTTTAATTTATAAACCAAATTTATGAGAGCGTTTGCTAGAATGAATGTTGTATCTGAATTACTATTTTAATAAGATATACGTACGTTTTTATTCTTCTGTTATATATTTATCATAAGCAGAAAAAATATTGTTTCGTCTTTCATATTATGTCTCTCTATGGAAATAAAGAAATTTAATACTAAGCTATATATCAAACACTATATATAGGATAATTCTATATAATTTTATATAGAAAATTGCATAAATATTATCAAGAGCAACTTTTTTCAAAGTGATCTATTAATCTACTTTTATATTTAAGAGTACTCAATTTATGTATAATAGTGATATTACTTTTTATTTACAACAAATATACGAATTACGTTTAAATGTTATTTAATTAATTAATCCGAGACAGATTAAAAGTACTCGACACACATTTACGCATATAATTGCATTTTTAGTAAATCTGGAGCATAATTCATAATAGATATATTCTGGAAATTCCGGTGATTCTAACTTTTCTTATATTCAATTCTTTCCACTTTAACTTCGTCTCCGACCAGTTGATATACGTAAGTAACCACCGTTGAGCTTTGGATGTCCATTAATACAAATGACGGTATAACTGACCTAAAAACAAATTATTATTAAAGAAGAACGCCTATAGAATTTTCTTATAATAATAATAATTTTCATGAATAATATATTCATTTTTCAGAGAAAATAATTTATATGTTAATGATAAAAGATGTATCAAATAATTAATTTAAAAATAGATTTGCAATAAAAAAATAGAATATTTATGAACTAAATCTTTGGAAATATATTTATTCCCAAAAATATTATTGCAAAAATATGTCATTAGCACTGCTTGTGTGTTTGATAAAACGGCAATAAATGTTTTTGAAAGATGAGTGCCAAACTTTTGAGCCTAATAGTTGGCATTCATTTGAAGCGTAAACAAAAGTAACTTTTTTTGCGTTGAAAATGTCGGAATTTATTTTTAGATCTTTTTAAAAAAACTTACGTATCTAGAGGATTGTAAGCTCCAGTAGCTGATCCAGGATTGATATAGAATTTATTTTCATGCTCATAGGCTTCAAATTTATGTGTGTGTCCGGATATGAGAATGTCTACATCTAATTGTCTCTGTATCAAGGCTAAAGATTCTGGATCACCCCATGGAACCACTTGGTGTCCATGAGAAAGTCCTATTCTGAACTGGCCTACAGTGACTACTTTTTGTTCTGGATAATTTAGATTCTGTAAACAAATAAAATTGTTTGCTTTGATCTATGCATAAATAATATTTACAGTTATGCAGTGTATCTTGTAATTTAACTTAATCAATAACCATTCTATTTTTCTTGTTCCCAATTTTACTTGACATATCTAATTGTCTAATATCCGTGTCTATCGATGTAGTTTAATTTTAATCTTGGTTCAACTTAGGGTCTATTTTTTGTTCCTACACTGTCTAAACTAGTGCACACGGTGCAATAAGTTAAAATGAAACAAACATATATTTGTTTCACTTCAACTTATTGCATCGTGTGTACTAGTTTAAACAGTACAGGAACAAAAAACAGACCCATTATCTTGATCAGTTGAACCAAGATTAAAGTTAATCTACATTGATATAAATGAGCATAATTGTTTTGACTACATTTTGATATTATTCCATATTTTTGTGTCTATATGATTAAATAAAACTGTTAGATGAATATATACCTCATCAAAATCTCCTCTGACTACATGAACATCACTGGCTAATGTCTTGAGATAATCATAGGACTCCTTTGTACAAAGATTACCAGTGCATAAGATATGCTGTATCCTTCCTGGTACTAGCAGTTTCTTAAACTTACTTGGGAGGCTGCTACATCTATGTGGAATGTGCAAGTCTCCTAATACCAACACAAGCTAAAAAAATTTGTTTCTGTACTCACTTTTAAATAAGAGATTTTAAAAGTTTAGTGTGTAGTAATATATTAACAAAAGTACTCTCAGGAGGTTGCCGGTCTTTTCCGAAAGGAGACACGAGCACAAATATTTCAGTTTTTACCAAGGACCTTCAGCATGACAGATCAGTATACTGTCTGCCATGCTAAATTTGTGTTCAAAATATTAGTTGTAAGCAGAAAACGATTAAAGACATTTAGTAGACAAGTAATTCTCTGATTACACAATACAAGTTCAATATATAAAAGAAATTTTAAAATAACATAAAATACTACACCTCTTTTAAGGTTAGATTACTAAAACAATTTTTAGCACATTTATTATTTTTGTGTACTTACCATGATTTTTGCAATTAACTCCTTAAATTAATATATTTTTGTATATCAATATATATTTAAAATCTTATAATATCAACAATTACTTTATGCCATAATATGATGTACAAGAGGCTGAACTGAACTGTACTGAAACTGAAACGTCAAATATGACACTGGAAACTGGAATTATACGATATATACATACACAAGGCATATCAATACATATGTGATCATGATAAACGGGAGTCAGTTCGTTCTCAAAAGTCGAGTTTTGTATGGATCGCGCATCTTCTCAATGCGGCCATTTAAATATTTGCGTCGCGGGAATTTTAAAATAATATTCAAGAAATCAAAAATAAATTTTAAATTCTAAGAGGCGCTCCACCACCCTCGCCGGTTGACTTCATTGATAGTTTTTTGCCTTTGTGAATATACTCACCCACACAAAAATGGATCAATATAAATTATAATGGCCAATTTTTAGATAGGTATTTATATAGTGGCGGGTGTTTATCAAAAATGGCGGCACATCTGGAGCGTTGTCTTATTTCTTAAGACTGGATCTACAATAGTTTTTTTAAGTCTTAAGTCATAAGAAATTGACACAATGCGAGGAAACAGCGATAGCGATAAGAATAATAACATAGTTTCAATTTATCAGAAATCGGATATATCGGAATATACAGTTTTTGATAGGTTGAAACTGTCATTTCTATCGCTATTGCTGGATTCACACTGGAGACTGGACACAGCAACCATCAAGCAGCGGAGTAGCAACCAATCAGCGTGACGATATTTTGCTTGACGCTTGCTGCGTCCAGTGTGAATCCAACATTATTATCGCATTTGTTCCCTGAATATGGCGAAATCAATAAAAAATGATCATTCGGTGGCTTAAAAGAGACACATTTGAAGGGCACAGGGAATAAAAGATTTCAACCTATCAAAAAGCATCCATTATTATATACATGATTTCTGATAGGTTGAAATCTTCCATCATTCATCTCACCTGCTCGCATATAATTCTAAATTCATGTTCACCATCATTTCATTTTGAGTCCCATGTTTATGTTAAACAATTTGGTACAATTGAGGTATGTTTTTCTTGTGATTGAGCATTGAGCTAGTGTACACTTTTGGAGTTTAGAGTGAGATGAATATATGTTTGGTATTAGGTAAAAGCAAGAAAGAAAGTTCTAGTGCAGGAATAAAAAACAGACCCTTGGTGTCGGCCCAGGTGAATGACCACGAGCGATTCGTGACTTGATTTGCAACATTGAAACAAGTTCGGCAAATACTCCTCACACACAGGGCTCCCGCTTGATCCCTCTTCTCTAATTGTGTTATTAAGATAAATTCAGCGACGGTTTGCTCGTCCAATGCGTCGATCACGAGGGTGAAACTGCAAGTGCCGACGACCGCGTCGAAGATAACCCGTAAGTACCGTGTGGGACATGTAATTTCTTTCATACCGTGTGTATGCATTCTTCGTTCCTGTTACCTGTTTCGTATTTATTTGACAGCTTATTCCACGGTTTACATCACTTCTGTGAGTCTTAAAACACTAATTGAGATTGCAAAGATCTTTATAGATAGGAGCCATTAGTAACAACTGTATTTTCTCTCTTGGCAAAGAACTTTAATTAATTTATCTCTACGCCATACAATGGCCGAGTCCAGTGACTTGGATCGGCAAATCGAGCAGCTGAAAAAATGTGAGATTATCAAGGAGGCCGAGGTCAAAGCTCTTTGTGCAAAGGCACGAGAGATTCTGATCGAAGAGAGCAATGTACAACGTGTTGACTCACCTGTGACAGTAATTATTGCTATTTCTCGTAAAAAAAAAAGCGATCAGACTGTCAGAGTCAGAATATTAAATACGTTAAATCCTATATGATGTGTTTTCTTTAGGTTTGTGGAGATATCCATGGACAATTTTATGATTTGAAGGAACTATTTAAAGTAGGTGGAGATGTACCGGAAACAAATTATCTTTTTATGGGAGATTTTGTGGACAGAGGTTTTTATAGCGTTGAAACATTTCTTCTTTTACTTGCATTAAAGGTATATGAGCCTAAATTACTTTAAATGCATGAATAGTGATTAAGAGGCAAAACACAAGTTGCTTTTTTTATCTTATATAAATGTATGCATTTTAATTTCTCCTTATATTTAAATAAAAATTATTTAAGAGGAATTAAATCCAAAATAGCTAGCAGATATGCTATTATATTATTTTATTTTTTATCATAGGTCCGTTATCCTGACAGAATTACTTTAATAAGAGGAAATCATGAATCACGGCAAATAACACAAGTTTATGGCTTTTATGACGAATGCTTACGCAAATATGGTAGTATAACAGTATGGCGGTATTGCACAGAGATATTTGATTATTTATCGTTATCTGCTATTATTGATGGCAAGATCTTTTGTGTTCATGGTGGATTATCACCTAGTATTCAGACATTAGATCAAATTCGAACCATTGACAGAAAGCAAGAAGTAAGTTCATTATGTTCTGTTCATCATAATTTTTTTTACAGTCAAATGGAATTAATGTTTATTTATTTCGATGTATTGATGTTGCAGTTTTAATATATTTAGAAACAATTCATAAAACATTCATAGGCTTTTCATATTTAAAAAGCTAATAAATGTGGAATTAAATGCAACTAAGCAACAAACGCAGTTTCATGGTTATGTATAAATTTTAGTCTTTAAAAAAGCAAATCATGGGTTTTTTAATTTAATGCTACATTCCAATATAATACTATACAACATTCAATATTTATTACTCTTTGTTTATGTTTGAAAATAACTTATTTTAAAAATGAAAAATAGTAAATAATTAAAACTTTTATTTATTTATTTATTAAAATAAAGAGAGCATTCACCTTAAATTGATCAAAAAAAAGTTTTATTAAGCGCGCTTGATCATATGTATTTTCATGTCTGGTGATAACAGTTCAATAATGTATTATATTTGATAAATATGGAAATTTGTTCTTATTTTATAAAATTATTGTTGGATGACATATTTTGAATAAACCAGAGAGTTGCAAAAAATATCTTAACACTAATTGAATTAATTATTGATCAATTAATTACATATTATTAATATATATTATCAATACAGATCTTAACAGTCACATAGATATTAAAAAATATTAGCAATAATCGAATTGTGCAATCATCTAAGGTTTTATCAAAATTACTTGGTGGCTTCTTCGGGATAACCATAAGTCTTATTACTGAACTCTATTTTGTGCTTGATGAACAACTACCCTAAAACTGCAGTATCATTCAACATAATTTCAATTTCAATTAAATTTTATTATATCTATTAATAGTTAAATTTTTTTGCTTTTTTGAGTGTGTTAAAATATTACATACTTTTCATTTAATGATGCAGGTTCCTCATGATGGGCCAATGTGTGATTTACTATGGTCAGATCCTGAAGATACCCAAGGCTGGGGTGTATCGCCGCGTGGCGCTGGTTATCTTTTTGGTAGCGACGTGGTAGCACAGTTCAATTCTGCCAATGATATCGATATGATATGTCGAGCGCATCAATTAGTAATGGAGGGCTACAAGTGGCATTTTAACGAGACTGTATTGACCGTCTGGTCTGCACCAAATTATTGTTACAGGTACATATAATATTCTTTTATTTGTAATTTCTCTAGTAAAATCTTAAATATTGTAAATTATATACAGAGTATCACAGAAAGGTCAGGACATCGGATTAATTTCAGAAAGATGTGTTATAGAAAAAAATTTTTCATATTGAAATTTTAAGATATCGACATATGTTGATATTGGTTTAATTTTCAATAATTTTGAAAATGTTACATTAAGAGCATCTTGAATTTTTAAACGGAAATAGTGCGTGTGTACATGAGTATACTCCGAACTATTTAGGAATTCTAAACAGCGGTTCATGATTCAGCCAGCCAAGGGAAGATCGATACGTAATTTAGCCAATAATCGTCGACTAATTTTGTCTTGACTGGCGAGATCATCGACCACTGTTTGAGGGTGTATTCCAGCCTAAACAGGTCAGTGGAATGATAAAGGAACTCACTTTAATAAATTACACTAAAAAATAAATCAAAGGGTACGACCAAGTGATGTCTTTAATAATACCTGTCGGTATTTAAAAGCTTCATGTATTTCGAATAATTTTGACCACGTATGGAACTTAATTATACTGTTTTAAAAAGATCTAGCAGTTTCCTTGTACGAGAAATGTGAGTCATGCGTGAGACAAGTTCAAAAGAAATGCAAGAGGGATGTAAGAGAAGTTTTTGGATCCAGGAACGTGTAGCCAATCAATATATAATTTTTACGGAAAAATGGCAAATTGATTGGTTACACATTTGTTGACATTTGTCGGTTCGAGAATCCGGATAGAGTTCCAACACCGTGAACACAGGGCTTTAGAGGTTTACTTTAAGTACCTTTTACAACCATTTACTGACTGTCAAGAGAAGAAAAAATAGTTTATTTTTACAAATGTTTTATAGATCTCGTCATTTAGATTTATCCAAATCTTTATTTAGAAATGGTAGATAACACAAATTAATGTGTTATTTCTCGTTTCTGACGTCACAATTCTAACATAGCCGCGGTGATCTATTCAGTAGGTCTATTCTATAATTTTCTAACGACAATTTTACTAACTAGGAATGCTGTATGTATTTTACATGGTAGAAAAGCTTCGCAACGTTAGTATAACGATACCGAACTGTCGTTTAAAAGTTACATAAATAGGCCTACAGGAGCTTTAATTATACATTTTTATAATTGCAGATGTGGCAACGTCGCTGCAATACTGGAACTAAATGAACATCTGCAGAGAGATTTTACGATATTCGAAGCGGCACCGCAAGAAAGCCGTGGAATACCCAGCAAGAAGCCACAAGCAGATTATTTTTTATAAACGCTGTTATAGAGTATAAAAGAAACCATCAGAATCAACTCAGAATTGATTTGAAGCATTTGCTCTCTCTCTTTCTGTTTCTCTCCCCGCCTCCCTCCCTCACCTCTCCTTCTCCCTTTCCTCTCTCTGTTTTCACGCGTAAGCATACACATACACACCCACCCACCAGCTTATATTGATGTGAAGAAGAGTAACTAAAAATGAGTGACACGAAAAAGATAATTTACTATTATTTTTGACGAAGATTTCCATGATTACGTTGGACCGTTTACTGCAAATTTGGATGAAACTGTGACAGTATGTGTGACTGTAAAATAAAATAAAACTCATCTTTCAAATTTAAGCTGATATATCATTATCTTGTACTACTTAAATTTCCGAAAAAATTTACATAAAAGATGTTCAAGAACGAATTAAGTTTTTATGTTTAATGTCAAATTTTATAAGCAATCTTGGAGATGATCCATTGAGTTACCCTTTATCCCTGATAATAGTTTACATGAGTTACTTGACATATTTTAATGATAAATGTAGCGAATTTATTCACACATTTTCAACGCTAATAATTTAATTTTTTTTAAATATATATTCTTTATTGTTACGAACCTTATAACATTAAAAGAATTGAATTATTTATTAGAATCTAATTCAAGTTAGGTTGACTTGCCTGTTTCCATAAAATCAATGGATGCGTTCAGCAGAAAAAGCAGCTTTGCAACTGTTGTATAATTCTTGAATATGATTGGCTTATACATTTAGATCTAATAAGGAAGTAAGGGCAAGACCAATCATATTATACTGGTTCTACATTAGTTGCAAGCCAATCGCAAGTTTGTTGCGACAGCCAATCTGAAGCGTTGATTTCAAAATGCAAGCTTGAGATTGGCTGTCGCAACGAACTTGTGTTCGACTTGCAACTAATGTAGAACCAGCTTTAAAGAATTTTACAACAGTTGCAAAGCTGCTTTCTTTGCTGAACGCAACCATTGGCTGTGTTCAGTAGAAAAAGTAGTTTTGCAACTGTTGTAAAATTCTTCAATACGATTGGTTTATACGTTTATATCTATAAGCCCGGATCTACAATAGAGTTTAAAGCCCCATAAGGAATGGACGAATCATAGTCGATTATTCTCCTCGAATTCGACTGTAATTGGTTAATTTCTTACAGCTTAGGGCTTAAAACACATATTGGCGATGCAAAGATCTCCTAGTGGCGCCCGGTAGAAGCTTCGCTAGTCAGACACCTTATACGTGCTATAATGGAAAATTAAAAAGAAATGCTACATAAATGTTTTGTGGCACAATGCCATAATTATAAACAGAAGGGGATCAGTTTTCATCATTTAAAAAAAAAAAAATTTTTTTTTAAGTGATGAAAACTGATCCCCTTTTGTTTATAATTATGTCATTGTGCCATAAAACATTATGTAGCATTTCTTTTTAATTTTACTTTATTATTTTCCATTATAGCACGTATAAGGTGTCTGACTAGCGAAGCTTCTACCGGTCCACTAGGAGGATCTTTGCATCGCCAATTGTAGATCCGGGGTACGGCCTGTTCTACAATGCGTCGCATATCGGCCTCGAATGTCGTACGCAGTGTGAATCCTACATATAAGAAATTAATCAATCATGGTCGATTGTTTTCAATTGTGATTGGCCAATTTCTTACGGCACGACTACGACAACGGCTCCCGACTTATTGTAAATCGGGCTTAAGAACCATTCATTTTTAAGCGTGTTGAGTACGGGTCATAAGGTCTGTGTTAACGGTTGACACTCTGTTCCCTCTGTTCATAGATTATTTTTGCGCCTGTTTGCGCCCGTTCAAATTGAGTTGACCAAAGTCCGTTATTTTAAACTTTATTGTTGTTAGTATAAGTATAAATAAGTATTGTCTTATTCTATGTGTGTAGGGATTCTGTAGTTTTAATATGAGAAAATAAATAAAATCTAAGCTAAAAATTATTTATGATGTGAGAACGGTGCTGTAATAGACACGACGTCTTTCCGCTAAATTTAATATTTAATATTACGTTTCATAATGGAATAATTTACAGAGATTTTGTTTTCAAAGTTTAACGATTTGTAATCTGTGTATTTAAATTACAGTTTATCAAGTGATTATATGTGATGAATCCATATCCTTTACCAAAAGTCAGAGAGTCATCAATGGATAAGTTTCGATACAGTATACTACTTGCACCGTTTCAGCCGGCAACAAGAATCGAATTAGAAACTAAGATAAACACTAATATAGAATGCTATTTAGATGTAAAAAATACTGGCGACAAGACACTAAACGTATGGAAAATATATTAAATATTTTTAATTAATTATTGTGGAATTAATCTTTTTTTATAGGACTATATATCATTACAAAAAAACTGTATGAGTTTTTGAAGACTTACAACTTGGCTTCTTTAACTTGTTTCGTTAAATATCTTTTTTTGCAGATATCCGTAACAAAGCTACCATCTGTAAAACGTCAAATTGATCTAAACTTATCTGAACTAAAAATTCAAGGACATAGCACTGGTACATTATGTATAAAATGGTCACCAAGAGAAGCAGGATGCTGGCGAGATGTGCTGCAACTTACTGACAGTCGACGAATTAAATATGATATTATCATAGCAACAACAGCTAAGGATGATAAAAAAAGCAATAAAACTAAAAGATTGAAACCAGGTGTACTATCATCCTCGTCAAATATTCCTGTATTATCAGTAAGCAAACAATCTAATCAAAACAACACGTCAGAAGTTGCAACTGTTAGTCAGTCTCTCTCTTCTTTGACAAAAAATCTTGATACACAAATAAATCAATACAAGCTTCACTATAAGAGAGATTTAGATAAAGAAAATATTTTGAATCAAAATAAAGAAATAAAGGATTGTACATTGCAAACAAAAGACAATAAAATAGATGGGATGCATCATAACAGACATGAAAAATTAGATAATATCTTGTACGAGCAAGATATAAATGTATGGAGTGACAGTAGTGTTCTGCCACAAGTTTTGCTTCCATCAAATGAGCCACAAGATATACGTAGAGCAACATATATTAAAAAAAGGAAATCTCTTGACAATATACTGTGTGAGCATGAAATTCATGAAAATATGAAGTGTAATAAAGACATGACTCAGTCAGATTTTTCATTACTTCTGAATAAATTTACATTTACGTCTACAGATGTAATTTCAAGTTCACCAACGAGAAAAGAATCGATAGGTTCTAGAACTTCTCATATCATAGATAAGCATAAGACTTTCAATATCAGTCATCAATTCTTTGAGGCATCCACGATTTATGATACAAAGACTACTGTCAATGCAGAGCCTGTATTACAATCAACAAACTTATATAATTTGTCGCCAATTAAACCAGATAAAAGCTTTCTCATGGCTAATGTCAAGAATATAATTTCGTCGTCACCGACTCAATTTGAACATCATATACCGAAAGATTCTAATGAATACGTAAAACATCTTACTGTAGACATGAATCCAAATATCCAAACAACCAACTGCGAATACTTCAGTTTTGAAGTTATTCCTAGGAATGTTGCAGTAGCAAAAAAGACAGGAGATATGTATATCGAGATTTCTCCACCAAAGAAGCATTTTTACTCTAAAATGATATCAAACTTGAATAATGCAAAAATCGGCAAAGTTATAAAAAATAATACTTTATGTGACAGAAGGCACAAAAAGGAGTTAAAACTGAACGTATCTGCTGCAAGTGAGCTTTGTCTTTATAAAAATTTGTATTTTTAATAATATCAATACTGATTTGTATATTATAATTGCAGAAAATGATACGAGGAATGTACCAGCAATTAAGATAAACAAATTTTCCCTTAATACTTTGTGTAATACAAAATGGCATCCTTCGTCGTCTAGAAATACGAGTTTTGTAATACGAAACGAAGAGGAGTACTTTATATATAAAACATGTGAATTGGATCCTTTCGCACCATCTACAATAGAGGACCCATTTCTTAAAAAGTAAGCTAAGCTCCATAATTCATACAGAAAGAATATTTTACATTAATATTATATATAATATAAAATAATTTACATTATGTAAATAAAAAATTTTGGTCCTTAATTTATATTTTATACATTATAGATTTTAATTTGTAGGAAATATTTTTGGATTAAACCATAAAATTTAAAATAATTTAGGACCTCAACAAACAAAATTTTTCTCTGTTTACTCACAGATACTTTGTTCAAGAGAGAGATATTAACTTTTTACAGAACTAGAAATGAACAATATTGAAGTATATCTCTTGTTTTATTTATAAAATCAAAGATTATTCATGGGCTTTTATTTGTACTAAAGCCATAATACAAACAGGCGAAGAAATTACACACGCATAATATCAATTAGACCCGGGTGAATCAACATTTCTTGATTTTAAGCGAAGCATAAAACTCTGTCTCGTTTTAAAGCCTGAAAAATGACGGAGACAGTTTAAGTCTTGCTTAAAATCGAAATTACGTTGGTGCAATCAAACCTTAGTTACTTGTCCTCATTAGTAGGTTTTTAAGTCCGAAAAAATTTCGGTGCGTAATGAATACGACTACAAATATGATACATATGTACATATATAATGTATTAGGTTAAGGAAAAAATTCTTTTACTTATATGTGAAAGGACCCTTCCCCAATCCATTTATTGCGAAATTTTCGTTACAATTATATCATTCGATAGAGCAAAGTATCAGCTTTAAGAATCTGATTTTTAATTACGGTATGATGATTTTTAACGGAGTTATGAATAATCAAAATCAGAATGCTCCTTTGCTTAACTCACGAATAACTCGCAAAGAGAAACACCGTAAGAACATTTAAAAAAACAACGGTTATGTAGGGAAAGCTTCAAACTTTCACGGATAGGTAGTAAAAAATTTTTGCAAATTTTTTTGAAAGATCCACAAAGTGAAAAGAAAATTTTTCATCTTTTTCAGCTCGTTGTTTTTTAAAATTACCGAACAGAAACTCCAAAGATATAGTAATCTTTCGAAAATAGAAATTGTAAGCTCTAAAACCCCCTTTTTTATTTAAATTTTGCTTATGTTTAACAAAGATACTGTAGAATAAAGGGTTTTTTTATGTAAAAAGATTCCCCAACCCAATATTAGTTCACATTGAAATAGTTAAGCATTAAAAGATTCAGCTTTGATCGTTTGGCCATGATTTCATATTTTTTATTTGTTGATTTCATATTTCAAGTTTGAGATTTAAGTTTAATCTGAGAATATCTTGTATATATAAATTATAGACCTTTTTGCCGTTTATAATAGTTTTTAATCTTTTTTATTATTTACAAAATTAACTTTTAATAATTACTACTATTTTATTAATATAAATTTTTAATTGACTCCAACTACAGATTGAAAAGTTGATTCTGATTGTTTTAACATATTATATTTGTCATTTTATTATACATAGTACAGTATACTTTGACGAGCCATGGCTGCTGCAACAAGAATTGGTGTTTTCAAAGTGGTTGAATGCTCTATTATCTTCGCCAGAAGACTTATCTGTTGATGTTGAAACTGCCGTAATGGACATCGGCAAAGTATGGCAAACATGCAAAACACAAAAAAATACTGTATTGGCTGAAACCAAGGAGGCTGTATCTGCTAGGTGCGCATTATGTTAATAATTAATTTAGAAAAGTTTGCTTCTAAAAATTAACAGATAGTTAATCTTAAATAACTGCTAATCAATAATTATTTTAATTTATAATTTTTGTCAGATATCACACGAATACAAGATTAAATACATTACGAAAAGCCGCAAATGCTATGTTCAAACGGGACGAAGTCTGCCAAGTTCTTTCACGTACCAACACGTATATTACTAAAGGAACTTTACGTATTAGATCAGATCGTAATCTTCATCGTGATATTGGTGCGTAGAAATAATTTTTTTATATTCTTACATATCCTTGAAATTGTACAAACTTCAATTTTTAATTTCTTCATTTTCTTTATGATTAAAGAAAAAAAACTGATTATACAAACAAAATCTTAAATTTGAATAATATTCTAATCTTCATAACAGGTTTACAGAAATTGATATTGAGCTTATTCTTGAGTTATAATCCTCTGTGGCTGCGTATCGGTTTGGAAACTGTGTACAATGAAAGCATTTCGCTACGCTCGAACGATGACATTTTCGGTCTGACTCGTTTTTTGCTAACAAGATTCTTTTCAAATCCACGACTGATAAAAATGCCTGGATATCATAAAACTGACCCGAATAAAAAATTTGTTACACAGCTGAATCAATTTAGTTTGAGAAAATTTCTTTTTTTAATATACTTTCTTGACTATGCCAAGCAGCATAAGTTAATCGGCCATGATCCATGTCTATTTCACAAACGCGCCCAGTATAAGGAAAGTCGCGAAATCTTGCTAAGCTTCTCGCGCGAGCTTCTAAGTGGTATCGGCGACGTGACCAGAATACTGCGTGGCCACAACTATGTGCTTACTTATCGACAAACCTACATTGAGGAATATGATTATGCAGTAGTAAATATACGGCACGATTTACGTGATGGCGTGCGATTGTGTCGCGCGATGGAGTTAATCACTGGCACCCGAGGATTAACCCAACGTTGTCGGGTACCAGCAATATCGCGTCTCCAAAAGATACACAACGTAGATATGGCATTAAGTTCCTTGCGTCAGGCTGGCTACGTCCTGGAGGGCAACATAGACGTGAAAAGCATTGTCGATGGTCATTGTGAAAAGACTCTGTCGCTTCTGTGGCAAATCGTTCACAAGTACCAGGCGCCGCGATTTGATCGAGCGGCTCGCGTGATCCAGAAGTGGTGGCGGGCACAACTCTGGTACATTTATGTAAGAAACTTCCTACATGCACGTAAAAATCTGGCTGCAACAGTGATCCAACGCATGTGGAAACGTAAAACGACACAGTCTTCGCATGTGATTGAAATTGATGATAATTTTGAGGAACGCAAACGGTTCTTGTGCATCAGAGCAGCTACGATACAAATTCAGAGATGGTGGAAACAAGTGAGAAAAAATAAAATGCAAAAGAAGTACAAAGCGGTGATTATATTGCAAAGAAAATGGAGAGCTACATTGCTAATGCGGATGCAACGAAGTCTGTATTATAATCTGAAGAATGCTACATTAATGATTCAAACTTGTTGGAGAGCTACGCGAGCAATGAAATTGCAGCGTTCTACATGTCTTATACGCAGAGACGCTATCAAGATTGTGCAATCTTGGTGGAGGTCTGTGAGAGCCATGCAGGAACAGGATGAATGGTTCCTTCGCAACAGAGAGAGCTATTGTATCATTCAAATGGAGGCATCTTGGTGGAGGCAACATTTATTAGTACTAAAAGCGCGCATTGACTTTCTGCAGACGAGAGCTGCCGTGCGCAATATTGAGAGATGGTGGTTGAGTGTGCTTGACAGAAAGAAATTCCTCTTATATCGAAAGAGTACCATTCTCATTCAGAGAACGTGGAATAAATACCAAATGCGCAAACGAGAAGTCGCCTGCTTGAAAATACAAACGTGGTGGAGAGCAGCGATATATTCGCACAAGTATAGACTGCAGAAGCACTCTTGCCTGAAATTGCAACGTTGGTGGCGTGGACTCATGCTTATGAGACATCAACGTTTGGAATTTCTGCAGCTGCGGAAAGTAACGTGTATTATACAGGAGAATTGGCGGGCAAAAACAATCAGAAGAAATTATTTGAAACAGCGGCGAGCAGCTTTACTAATACAATCGTGGTACCGTCGTACCAATTCAGCAAGGACCATCCGACGACATTACTTAAAAATAAGAGACGCTACAATACAAATACAAAACTGGTGGCGCAACATTACGGTAGCTCGTCAAGAATGGATAAGATATTTATGGATTCGCAAGAGCGCCTCTCTTCTGCAGACTTACCGGTGTCGACATGTTTTAGCTCGCGCAAATCGCCAGCGGTATTTAACGAAGTGGATAGCATGCGTTATTATTCAATCTTGGTGGCGAATGATCAAAATGAGGAGCAAATATAAACGGTTCAAGGTTCATGTGTTAGAGATGCAAAGAAGGTGGCGTGCAAAGAAAGCCGCTCGTGCTGCCAGGAGAGAGCACTTGCTAACTTGCGCGGCTATTGTCGTGCAAACACGCTGGAGAGTTCTAACAGCGAGGAAACGATTCGTCGCATTGCGTCAAGCTACAATAGTCATTCAATCGTATTACAGAATGAAAGTTGCAATGCGAAGATACGAAACCTGTAAGTATGCCGCGATGGTCATCCAAGCCCATTGGCGAGCTTACATTGTTGGTAGACAAGAGAGACTGCGTTATCTGTCTCTACGCCAAGCAACGATTATGTTGCAGCGTCGTTATAAGAAGAAGAGAATAGAACATGAAATGCAACGCCAGGTAAATAATATTGCTTTACTTGCTACGAAAATTCAAGACGAATGTGGAGAAAGTATCCAAATTACCGCGAAACTCGCGTTTTCAAGCAGCGACTATTGGCAAAAGAAGATCAATGTACTACGCAGCTGCAACAGCGTTGGGATGCTGCTTACTTGTTTGTACAGTTTAGGTAAATTCATTTTCACTTAAGAAATAATACTGCATTATTAAGCGTTATTAGTGATGTGATTAATGTGTGATGTTTTGAAAAGAGACTTAAAGAAAAGTTTAGACGAGGAAAAAAATTTATTATTTTATTTCTTATTATATATCATTTTCTAAATAATGAATTTTTCTCTTAATCACACAAGTAATAAACAAACAATTTATAAAACCCATACGAAGTTATCCCTTATTTTAAGAATTAACTTATTTTGTTAAAATTTTTCTGAATTGTGCTGGGTTTGTGCTAACATTGAAGTGCTAAAGTATTACTGTCAAATAATGAAAAAAAAAATTATGACAAAACTAATTTTGACAATTCTAAATACAACTAATGTTTACATTCACATCAGTTATTCAAATAGCATAAAACTGCATATTTAAGTTATGCTACAAGACTACTCTTGCCCTATTCTAGAACACAAGAGTAAAATGCCTTTAATATACTGTGCCAAGGATTTTAAAGATTGTGTTAATTTGTGCTAAGCTAGTACTTAGTTTTTGCTGTTTGAAAAATTAATATAAACATAAATTATATTCAGAATTATCAAAAATTATTTTTGTCACAACTTCTGTTATTATTATTTAAGGTAATATTTTTGAACGATGTTAGTACAACCTAGCACCATTTAAAAATTGAGAAAAACGCAAAGGAGGTTGACTTAAAAATTATTTTTTATTTTTTAATATATTTTTCATATTATACGATTACAATATATGAGCACAATGTAGCACAATTCTCAAAATAAGTTAATTCTAAAAGTGAAGAGCTAATTTCGTATACTTAAGTATGTCTAAAACAAAGTAATGCTTATGCCCATTTCTAACGATGTAGTTTTATCTTAAAAAAGAAACTCAAGAATGTTAATAACAAAAGTAATTAAGAGCTGATAAAAGTTTTAACGCTGTGATCGTTACAAAATAATTTTTTTATTATCTATTTATAACAATGCTGATTTAGAGGGTTCATCAACTGTACTTCGAATCTTCAGTGTGTTAAATAAAATTTCTACCTCTTCATAGTGAAACGGAGTAACAATTCAAAATTGTTTCTGTTGTGTTAACACGTGATTCAAAGTTAAATGATAACGAACAGTGTATCCAATGTATAATCTACAATTTTCATTTTTTCGATATATTTCCATAGCTTTGCAGAGTTTCGATACATTGTTTATTGTTATCTGATTTTTGAACCACGTGCCAACAGAATAGGAACGACTTTGGATTATCGTTTGTTCGTTTTACCATAAAGAGATAGAATTTTTATTTAACATATTGAAGATGGCTTGAAGTAGAGCCGAAAACCGAAGTTTAAATCAATTTTGTTATAGATAGGTAATAAAAAAGAAATTCTTCCGCACTGATTACCGCGCTAACATTCCTATTAGTCCTTTATTATTTTGTTAATTTAATTTTAATATCGATTCAATATTTTTTTCTGGTTCAAGAATTAGGAAAAGATAAAGAATAAGTTGAACCAAGATTGAAGTTATTAATCTACATTGGTAGAAAAGGACATAAATAAATGAAATATCAAATTTATTCAAAACAATGGAAGAGTTTAATCGGCAAAGCGGCTAGGTCTGCTCGCTGAGCAAATAAACACAATTGATTACTTATAAATCCAATTAATCACATTCAGTCACTCAGCGAACAAGCTATCAACTTTGTCCGGCTTGAATACGCCCAATGATATAAGACGTTTCGACTTACTATTATTTGTTTTCAATCATGATATTGAAATTAGAATAAACTTAATTGATTGGAGTACGAATGAATAACAAAATAAAAAATTCTCTCTTACATATATTTATCTTTTAACGTTTTAATTTTAAAAACAAAGAAGAACGTTTTAATTTTGTTATTTATTAACATGCTAATCAATCATGGAAGTTTATTTCAATTTTTATATTTCAACGATTTTGCTATGACTGAAAATGATTGAGTAAAGTTGAAATATCCTATATTACATATTGTTTTGAATAAATTTAATATTTTATTTCTTTACTAACTTTATCTTCATTTATTGATCTTGATTTTATTTAAATAATTTATATTCATCATATTTTTTTTCGTCACATACAGATACTATAACGATGCTGTCACCGACCGTTTGCATCATCCTTTGTGAGCTGAACTTAACCGATGACATTTACAATACGATAGTGCAGAACAACAGATCGCTACCGTGGATGAAAGTTTGTCTGCGAGCATGCAGCATTTTGATTACCCTGTCGAAGTACCCCTATACGAGAAAATATGTGCTTAAGGTAGAAAAAGCTCATAGTTTATCTTACTTCTATCATTATATTCAAGAGATGTCATTTAATAAAAAAATACTTCATGTTAATTTTTAGAAAGAATATGCATTGGCATTAGTAAAGCTTCTGAATGGATCACTGAAAGATAAGGAAGTATTTCTGCATTGTGCTACTTTAATATGGTTGCTTAGCCAGAATGAAGATTACGCGAAAGTAATTACAGCTTGCTAAATTAAGCCAAGAATAATATATTTTTAAATTCTTAAATATTCTAGTTTTAAAAATTCTCTCTCTCTCTCTTTAAGCCTTTTAATAATTTTTTAATATACTTTTAAACAATTTTTTATACAAACTTACTCTTTGACCTCTTCCTGTTTTTATATATCTTTCAATGTTTTTTCAGGCTACAGCAATGTGTCCACAAATAAATTACCTAATGAAAACTATTCAACAAAAAGTTTTGAAGAATATCATAGTGCCAAAACTCCAAAAATTTAAGGACCCAGATAAATTATATCCCAATTGTGAACCTGATCGAAATAATTTAGCAATGCAGAAACCGCGTCTCTTTACCGACATGAGTATTGCCGTTACAGCTATTGTTAAAAGAATTTGCACTTGATATATCAAATTTGGTGAATTATGTACGTTTGTTATATTTAAAAAATTTTATTTGTGCATAGTGTGCGGTCTGAATGTTGACCAATTTAGTATATAGATTCAAATCGTAAAACTATAAGCATTAAGCTACAAATTTAAAATTGTTTAAGAAATAATTAAAAAATGCGAGGACTAGAAATAAGTGTTTTGAAAAGTATTTATACAACAATTTTAAAATATGACAGTAAGATTTTTTTTAATGATGAAACTACAAATAAAGAAGCTGACAATATCAAATAAAATCGCAAAAATCAAGAGACAATTAAGTTTTCATTCTATTTTAATAACCGACTCATTTCTAAAAATGTGGTAGAACACTGGCAACGATGACAACTCGATCGATTATATATTATAGTATAATACAATAAGATATAAATGTAATTTTTATTTACAGTAAATTATTTACTCACAAATAAAATTATTAATAATAATAATAATAATAATAATAATAATAATAATAATAACTTTATCGCGGGTACATAATGATATAATAGTGATAAAACCGTAATTAGCAACAGTAGCAGTAGATTCTAGTAACGAGTGCTTTCTAGAAATGAAACACAATCATACATTGTATGACACAGTAATGCAGAGTGTCAACTATAGCGGAAATATTGCCTTTTTTTTATATTACCACCGGAATGCAATAAAAAGTTTTCATTGAATTGAAATAAAAAAGTTTCACACACACACCTATGTCCAAATATATCCGAATATAATCTTAATACAACACTTCTTATTGAAATATTACTCCTAAGAAAATATATGAAAATGAAATATAAAAAATTGATATTCATGAAATGATATAAAACATTGAATACAACATAGCTGTTTGTGTCAACTTAGGTCACAATTGAAAAGCGTGGAATCGCACACTGCGTTATACAGTGTCGCTTGTGAACATTGCTGAATGGAAAGCACTCAATGATGGTAGTTAGTCGTAGCGGTAGCAATAATTGTATTTCCTTGACTTAATTATCATGTACAGACTTAAGTTCTTTAATCTGCTTAATCAGATATGCCTTCTCATCGTTGAACTGCTCGTCCTCGGAACGATCCGTGTGGAAGCGCGTCAGGAATTCGATCAGCTTCTCCTGATTGCGGAGTAATATATCTAGAATAGGTTTGGGTTTGTTGGGATTCGCCACAAATACCTAAACACAATCAGAAGAGATGAATGAAAATATATTAATAGGGCCTTGGAAATCTGTGCAGACTTAATAGAGAATTAGTTATTTTCATTTAACAACATTAGCATTAATAATTAATAATCGTATAACTTAAACAATCGTACGTTTCGCTTCTGAACGACTATTTAAACTTGAAAAAAAAAAAAACGAATTTTATACTATAAAATACTGTGTCAAATATCGAAAAACTCAAAAATATAGGAATGTAATATTAATTACGAATTGAAAATTCAGTTCAATATTAAGCGTTGTCATACCTTGAAAACGTGAAAAGCTTCAAACTGTATATTGCGAGACTTTTCTTTCAGCATATTCATCATCAATTTTAAATTATCTGGATTTGATATATATCGTGTCATGACCTACAATTTTAACATGAAAATTAATTCTAATATTTGCCAATAACTTCTCACAAATGTAATGAGAGAAGATTTCAGGTGATCAGAAAATGTTGACAATAATTTTTACTTGTATCCTCTTTATCACTATATTGCAATGTATTTCTAATTATCGCGATAGATTAAACTTGACCAATTATTCTACTAACAATACTTTTAATAAAATATAAGTGCAAATGATGTATCTTAACTCTAACTTGCCATCCTAGGATATAACATATCCTATGCGTTTTTTCACATTGCTGTAACTTTTTTATAATATAATTTGTAGACTTGGATTAAAAAAAAACTTACTATCCATAGATACACAAGCATCTAAGTTTCAGCTAGAAGAACCGTTAAGGCTTTGTTTCTTATCGGTTGAAAATAAAATGTTTTTGTAATATATATTTATCTGTCTTTGATTTTGAGGCATAGATTTCACATGGTCAATTTAAGTTAAAAAATATGCATTTAATTCAGAAATATAGCATGGCTAAGAGAAGATTTAAAAAATAACAATGGCAAGTTAGGGAATTAAAAATTTTTATTTAAACAAATTATTGCTCATTTCTTAAATTTTTTATATTTTATTAATATTTTATACAGGGTGTCTGAAATTTTAATGTCAAAACTTCAAGAGTGTGCAGGGGATCGATAAACTAAGAAAAAAATCCTGTAAAGATATATTCGTTTTTGCTTCTTTTCAGAGCACATCTACAGGATTTTTTTCTTAGTTTATCAATCTCCTATACGCTTTCGAAGTTTTGACATTTAAATTCCGGACACCCTGTACATTGAGATTATTTATTGAGAAGCATGCACCGCAAAATATACATTCCCTCTTTAGAAAAAAATATACTATTTAGTGTTTATAATTATTTAAATAGATGAAGTATATTATTTGGTTATATACTTCCAACAACTGGACACTTTGTTTATAATTATTTTATATTTACAAATATGTTTGAATTTTTTCTTTTTTTTTTTATATAATTGTATAAATGATATCGCTTATGAAAAAGCAAGATACTTACTGTAAAATTGTGTCTATCAAGTAATAACTCGCCCAACAGTTTTAAACTCTGTCGTCGTGTTACATAGTTTTCTGAATTGAGTAACCTCTGATAGTGTGAAAAAACTTTATCGTAATGTATCTCTAAAAATTCGGCGCTGAGTATTTTGTGCCTCGTAAGTAATTCCTGGACAAAATTATGAATAAATTACATCAAACAGTATAATATATATTAATACATGTATAGCTAACAACTATACTGTGTATAGCTAACAACTATATAGACTAAAACATGATTTTTTTTGCAAATATTTAAATATTTTTAGTAAAAAAACAAAATTAATTGTAAATAATAAATGAACAAAGAAAGATATCACAATATGCTTCTTGTTCTTGTTACACATAGTTACATATGTATAACGTACTTTAAACGTAGAGAAAGCGTCAGATGCGATATCGAACGTAGAAACTTCAACATATCTGAAGAAATTGTAAAAGTCATCCGAATAGATCATGATCTTGGCCAGGGCTTCATATCTCGCGCACTCTCGCAACATTGTGCCACAATTGAGTGCAATATCTTGGTGTTCGTAACTGCAAGACAAAAGTGTATTCACACACCATAATGTGACATATACTCTTATTATTCTACTAACATAGCACAAAGGAAAAGGGAAGACTCACCCAGACATGAGTGTAAAAAGAATTTCAGGTTTGGTACATATGTATTCTACAGTGGGTGATCTAGTTCCAATTTGTCTCCGCAAAATGTTATTGAAGACTTGTGCAACATCCTTCTTTCCCTAATTAGAAACGGAAAGATTAAACTCATAACAATCGTTAATAACTTGAGCTAACAATTCAGATAAAAGAACACAAATCTGTAAATTATTTAGAAAGAGTAGAAGTTTAGAAAGACTACACATATTAGTATATCAATTCATGCGAAATTATACATAATCAACTAAGATCTAAGCTAGACTGTTATAGGCTTCGTATTCATATTAGTTATGTTGCATGTTAGTTAGAATGATTTCATTAAATATTATTTGATGTTGTTAGTTTGCCATAACTCAACTCTAAAAACAAAGTTTAAATGTTTTTTTTATAACTTTAAAACTAGAATTTCTCTTACAGTTAGCAAGCATTATAATGCTACGCTCTAATAAATATTTCAATATTTAGTAACATTTTCACATACATATATATGGTACATCTTTCTTTTTGCCACAAAAAATATTCGTTTCGGATATTTATTTCATGTATATTGACGGCATACCTCGAAGTCAATGCGACTTAAATTTTGCACAAGCAGAAGTAGTAGATTGCTGTTGTACAATTCCTGCGCCAGCTGTGCCACCACGATGTCTGCCTGTGGCTCTGTCTCAGCTGTGCCGTATAACATGTTTTTGATGTGCACTAAATTCTTGCTCACGTCTTCTTGTGCCTAAAAGGGGATGTATTTCATCGTAGAAACCAATGTGTATCCGCAACAACGTACCTTCTCTACCTTCTTGTCGCCACGTTCCAATGCATTTACCGCCTCCTTGAGGGCCTTCACAACTTCTGCTGGACTCTTTTGGGACTTTCCAAACAGAGGCATGTTTTCTTAGAATGTATGCACCTTATGAAACATAAAAAAACAAAAACAGAACTCCCTTATTACTTTATCCACTAAAGAATACCCCTAAGAAATATTTACGTTTGAAAATACTGTTATGATTACTATTCACATTAAATATAATAAAAATGTATGATAGAATGATATATCACCACACAGCAAAATAATACAGAGATACATATACTCAAACGATATAAATGCAAGTTATTTATATCCTTACAATAAGTGTGCATCATGAAAAATAAATCAAAATATCAAATACATAGTATACAAGCTAGACTGTGTTCGGAAATATCATCTGAGTACCCCTCCCCTCTGTATTGTCTTATCCTTGTTTAACAATAAATGAATAATAAGGATGAGATGATACTCAGGGAGAAACCTGGGTGATATTTCCGAATATGCAGCCCTACATTATTGCAACTTTGCATGACATAGCAACAAGAGAGAATTCTTAATTGATTTTTATAGAGCATCTTAATTAATCTTAACCTTTTGGAGCTAATGTGGAAATCTATAATACAGTTACTGACACTGGGTCTGCAAAACTTAATACAATATACAATATGATGATTAAAAGTCAATAATTAATTTCAAACACATGGACATAACTTATATAAAAAAGAATGAATATAAAAAGAAAGAATAAGTTTAGTTTTTATAATTTTATAAAAATAATCCAAATTTACAGATATAACGCAAAAGAAAATTGATAATACTTTTGAGGCTTTTACAGGTAATATCTTCAGATTTGTGAATTATTGTGATCTGTACTGTGATCCCCATTACTAATGCTAATTTCACGAACCTTGTTATTCCACTTCAACAAGAGCACACTGATACATCATACATCAATATTAGTATCAGTGTAATACTTATCCTGATGAAAACAATAGCAAGCTTCACGAAATGTTGGCACTAACAATGGATCATGACATGACAATAACCTACAAATTCTTTAGCACATGCAAAGAGAATTTTCTGACATTTTTATGTAAAATAATAATTGTTACAATATAACAGATATACAAGAATTAATAATAAATTCAAATACAATGTATTTTTTATCTTAACATTATTTTACAGAGAATTATTTTTACTCTTCAGAATCTTTGTTAACCAAATATTCATTGCATAGTGGATCACTGTTAATTCTGGAAGCATATAACTAAGTGGGATAAATATATGGAACAAACTCATGTCAACTCTAAAGAATTAAATATAATTTTAAAATATCAAACTATATAATCATTAATACCTTAAAATATTACATAAGATCTCGTAAGACAGAGATCTTGAAATAAGTATCAACTATAAATACTAGCAAAAATTGATAAGAATACAACTGGTTCTTCATAAGATATTGAATTGACATCTGAATATACTGTACTTAAGCTAGTCTTAAATATATAAGGAACTGACTTCCAATCATCATACATGACACAAGTATGTTTACCTTTTGAATCTCTACACGATTGAAGTAGTTCTCCAGGTAGTTGACAATTCCACTGAATCCAAACTAACATAACATTACATCAATGTTATTATTTCCTGACAATATACCTATATAGTATAATATACCAAATAATAATAGTGTAATATTAACATTGTAATTTCCTATTTAAATAATACAACTGTTATGTAAGAATAGTGTTATTCTTCTTCTTTTCAGCCTCTTAGATTTCTTAACTTAAAGAGTCAAAGTACTACGTTTACAAAAGTGTTGTATTATATACTTATATCATTGAGTTATAATATTAAAGTAATGTTACTGTTAGTTTGTACAGAATTTTACTTAGTTTTAGTAGAATGTCATTGGCACTCGATCGCAATACAGACGGCAATGGCGAATTTTTCTTCTCGAGAGACCATGAGAGAGAAATGCGACAAAGTGAAAAGCCAAGAAGTCGTGAAGGAAAGTAAAGATCGTCTGCGGTGTTGAGACAATCTAACCTCAAGAGTCGTCCATCGAGCGTCACCTGATCGGAATGACCAAGCGAAACCGAGAAACGAAAAAAGAGGCCGTTTCGAACTTCGAGAAGGAATGAGAATACACTTCAATGCACTCCTCGCTCACGAGAGCGGCAGTAAGATCGTGATCGGTTAACAGCTAGCCATCGATGACGAAACCGATAGCGAAACATCAATGATGCTTGTCGGCTGTTGTGCGCGCGAGGTTAACGGAGGTTAATGTAACTAGTTAGTGAATTCTAACCTAACAATCCGTAGTTCGCTTACCATGCAAAAGAGATCCGAGCGGAGTGTTCCGAAGCGTCTCGCTCAGAGCTCGACGTACGCATACAAACGTGAATGAATCTGGCCCTGGTTGCGGAGTGCGGCGACAGCGAGACCGACGTCTCCTTTTAGATGCTTGCCACTGTTTGCCTATCGTGAGTGTCACTGTGGGTGCGTTCCGAGTTACGCATGAAGCGCGTATACTGCATTACTGGTGCGTAAACGCTTTGAAATCGTTCCGTTTAGTCAATGCGCATGAAGCGCTTTAGTTATTCGGAACGATTTCCTATGCATTCTATGCGAGTTCAAGATGGACGCTATACAAGACGTCAATAAACAATTTCCAATAATTGTAATTTCTTCTTTAATACTTTTAAAGAAAAATGATGACAGTTCCGATGACAGTTCCGACTCGAGCAATAGTGAAAATGAAGTCAAAGGCATATCTCGTGATATGCAAAAGTTATTTTTTCTATTAATGGTAGATAAATCACGTGGAAAACAAATTGGAGTTGAAAAAATTATGGATTACGTTGTCGATCGCGTAATTCCTAATTAATATAACGTCTAATCTATACATTAAATAAATCAAGGTAAAATAATGCCATTAATTTTGATGAAAATATTCAAGGACTCTTAATATAATAATATTCAACATCAATTAAAAGGGCGAAGAATCAGAAGTAAATTACATTTAAAATAATATTAAAATGTTAATATATTTACAATAGAAATATTACAAAAAATTGCTAAAAATTAAAAATATGACATCATGTTTTTAATTTTAAGCAATTTTTTGTAATATTTCTATTGTAAATATGTTAACATTTTAATATTATTTTAAATGTAATCTACTTCTGACTCTTACTTCGCCCTTTTAATTTTTGTTGAATAATGCAATTAATTTTATCTTGGCTTACTTTCGCCATATCCTCTTCATTTAAAAATAAAGTTAATACTTCAATTTTATCCTCTAATAAGACCGGGAAGTCATGCAATTGCTGTAATCGCTATTCCATCGCAAATCGCAAATATTCGTCCGTTCACTGTTGTATTGTCCGGTACTCGTTGCTTGTTCCGAATTACAAATCATGCACATAGACCGCACGAACGTATCAGAGTTATCAGACGCATCAACTGCCTCAGGTCGAAAGAGAAGCAGTCAATGCGCTGAGTGGAGTGCTAAGAATTCAGTACGGTTAGTACAATCTGGGGAATTCAAAGTCTCTCGAAGCGCTTTCGAAGCGCGCAATAGTTAATTCGGAACGCACCCTTGTGAAATCAGTTTGTGAAATTCTTTTGATTGGTCAATGAAGCATTTGCAGCGTTAAGTGGATCGCACCCCTAAATAAGGATAATTCAAAATAATCTTTGTCCTAAAAGAGACATATTCCTACCCGTATTCTAAAATGATTTTTCCTTTGGCATAAAATTTGTCCAAAGCTTAGTTTTTAAATGATAAAGAGAAATAATTAGCGTATTGCAAGTCAAGTACTTTATTGTGGACAATAGAGTGAATGTATTAAAAAAAAGAATCGAATAAAAAAAGTATACGGAGCAAGAAATCGACACGAGCGTTGTGTATGCGCGTGTGCGTGGTGCACGTGTTTGCATTAGCGAGCGGTCGGCTCTTTAAACCGCGCGTGTTTATTGTGTTGCGGTATAAAGGCGATGCTGGTCGCGGACAGTATTTTGATGGTACACGGAGTTCACGGATACACACCAGCGGTAAATCGCAATCATGGCGCGGTATTCTTTCTTGCATTTCCACGATGCAATGAGGAAACGTTCGCAAGTATTGTTTAGAACAAGTATTGTTTAGACAGAGAGAACTCTATAATCCCCTTTTTAATGTTAAAAGTCGGTGCGGATACCGGAGCGATTGTGGCTGCAGCCAACTGTCGAGAGTTGACCTACTGAAGCGGTAAAAAAAATCGAAATCAGAGAGAACGGGTGCGGATTGATCTTAGGAGCAGGATGGAACGGAAAGTTGCCAATTGCGTTTATATATAAAACACTCGTATTGTTACGTCGGTATTCGGTAATTCTCGCCGATCGACAACTCGAGCGTGGTAGATGTCGGTTGGCCTCTTCCTTGGCATTTGCTCGCGGTTGTTCGATAGGCTAGTTCGACCTTGAGACCAAATAGATCATATTTTTATATAATTTTGGAAATTATACGAAAGAAAGAAAAGGAAGGACTAGTTCTTCTGATATAATTATGTTTGTATCATATAAAATACGTAGTGCTATATGGATATCACAATCTATTTTGATAGAGTATAATGTTACTTGCACACAATAATAATAGCGGAATATTTGATGAAAAATTTATATTTTTAAACAAGAAATAATTCTATTAACGCATTTATAAAATTTAAATTATATATATAGTATGAATTATATTATTAGTGCTCTTTTTAAATAACAAACATATCTGCAGTTACATATATAATATATTAGCAAGAATCATTTATAATAGTTATTCATGACAAATCTCTAGTTGGCTATTGCTATGAATAATTGCATGCGAGAATATTATATCTTCTCTCTCTCTATCTTTGTTTTTCTATCTTGTCACATATATCTTAATAAATGCGAATTTTATGGAAAATGCTTAGAATTTAAATTTAAGAATGTAGATAAAGCTCAAGACTCGAAGAAATTAGAAAAATGTTAAAATTTACGAAATAGCCAAAATAATTTATTTTGAATTATATAAAGAATGGCGCTCTAGTAAATATTAACATGAATTATCATATATCTAATTATATTTGTACACGAGTGCGTATTATATAGTATTTATCAAATCGTATAATATATTTAAAAACAAAGAATTAATAAAACTATGAATGACTACAACTATAAAACGACACAGCCAAAAGCGAGCGATAAAGCGTACTTTCAATTCTAGAGATTGGAAAAATCCTCTGCATTAAGCAATTGGAGAAATCTTTGAATTAATTATTTTGTCCATTTATTAAGTGTATATTTTCAATTATAGTTTTGTGTGCATCTAGTATCCAATTGCTACCGAATTAACGGTATAAATAAACATAAAATTGTCTCTGAAAAATGTTTTATATTATATAATGCAGTGCAAAATATCACTGATTGTTTTTTCGACTATCTGACGTTAATAGTTTTGTTATAAGATTCATTTTTACAGAAGGCAATTTAGCTTCCTTAACAAAGTGAACTGGCTTATGATTGTTTATTATTTCACCTTCATCGTGAAAATCCTTGAAACATGAAAGACAGTAGAGGTCATCTGTACATCCTGCGCATTTATATAAATCTGAGTCATTTGCAGTTCGCGAGCACATGACACATTCATTTTCATTCTCATCTTCATCTTCATTATCCTCTTCTACATTTCGAGGAGTCTGTGATTTTTTTTTAAAGATAAATTTTATATAGAAATATTAATATTTATTAAATTTTATCAAATACATATATAGTTATATAATTTATTGGAGCATAAATGACCATAGAATGAAATAAAACGGAAATAGATAAGAATGCACGGTTATTAGTAATTTATGAATACATACCTTTATTTCCATTGCTGATATTTTGTTAATTAGCTCTGTACTATCGCTGCTTGTTGTATTACATAACTTCTTGTATATGTCAATATCTTGCTTCATGTGTTGATCAAAATACTAGAAGAGATAAAATTGATCATTATAATTTTACATTTTAAATTATTTACAAATTTACAATGTCATTCACTTACAGATTTATTGTCGTCATTTTGTAAGGAGTCGACCATCTCGATATCTTCACAAAGATCGCTAGTTGAAGGCAGCTCTATTGGCGCAAGATACTCCTGAATTAAATCTTCTGCCTTCTCTTGATCTGTTCTAGTATCTATTTGATACACCTGAAATAATAAATTTATAAAAATTTATGTAATGCAATTATATTTATATATTATAATACATTTTGTTTACATACATTTATAATGTTACTTCCACTGGTTTCTGGATTTTGATCCTTCAATAATGCCAATCTTTGCTTTATCTCCTCAACTGTAGGCAATGAAATGTTCCGTTCCTCATCTTTTAACTTTCGTAATCTGTCCACAATTTGTTGATCAGCTGGCTCTAATCCCATTTTTAATTTGTCCCAGTGATTTGTATGTTTATATATTACTATTGGAGGCTTTATTGGATTTTCTAATAAATCTAGTCTATTAAAATATTCAACATTAAAAAATGTCATTTTTTTTAAATATAACAATCAACAATAGAAACAAATTATCAAGAAATACCAATATAACAAAAAAGAAAAAATTCTTATTTAAATAAAAATGTTGATTCTACAATAAGTAGGTAGTCAATAGTCCTAAGTCTTATCAATGAATTGATGAATTTGGCCAACAACCAACTTATACGACTATCGGTTTTCTTAAGACTGACCAAATTTGACTTTATTCCTTCTCATTAGTTAAGCTAAATGATTCACTATATAATTAATTGTAGATATGAAAAATTGTAGTCACCTATTTAAGACTAGTTAAAACTTAAGATTTTCGATTACCGATTCATTGTAGAGTCAGTTTAAAAGAAATGTCTATTTCAAGATTAATGTCAGTTATGTATTAAAATAGTTAGACATCTTATAATATAATAGTGTACTTATTATAAAGCGCTATTATTTAATTCCGATTAACCCTTTTTTTGTTGTCTTTTTAAATACATAAATATACATTTTATATAATTATATAATATACATTTGACATATTTGCAAATATACAGTAGAAAACATCAATTTCTCTTACTTCATAGTGATGTCAATTGGTGCAAGTTCTTCGTTTTCATTAGGTATTGAAGCATCATTTGCATTATCAGGACTTGACTTCTTCATTTTTTTTTTGTTCAACTTGATGTAATAACGTCTACAAACTTCCCTTCTTTCTATATTAGGAATATCACATTGGTGATTATTTACATGTGCATTCCGCAGCTCAAAAATTAATAAAATTTAAGTTTATTCGATGTGTTTTTGTATAAAATAAAATAACATGGCAAAAAAAAAACGTCACTCCATCCCGTAGTCTGATAACGACGTAAATCGAGATAAGGTTAAAATTAACAACTATCGAGGTTAGAAAATCTAATTACGTCTTTACAATACACGGTTAAGCTATATCCACACAAATTTGCATAGCCGCATAAACGAATGCATAAGGAAATTGATTGGTTCATTTTCTTATGTATTTGCTTATGGCCAATCAATTTCTTTATGCATACGTTTATGCGGCTATGCAAGTTTGTGTGGATATAGCTTTAAGCTCTGTGTCCATAGCTGCGTTCGGAAACATCATCAGAACATGAGTATCCCCGTGTATCATCTTATCCTTGTTTAACATGGATGAACAACAAGGTAAGACGATACATGAGAGTACTCGGGTGAGGTTTCCGAACGCAGCCCATGATGCTAGAAATTTTGACCAATCACATATTGGTCACGTAATCAAATTCCTAAATGTGAATTGTTATAAATCTTCTACCTCAGCCTGCAGATTAGCGTTAGTACAAAACGATGCAATAGAGTTTTTGCAATACTTTTTATCCAGATACGATGAACGTTAAAGTCATGTTATCTTTTTCTTAATTAATTATGAAGAAAACTATACTGAGGTAAAATAGATAAAGAATAAATCTATCATTTTTTTCAGCTTTGGAATGAAATACATCAGAGACAGGTACATACATTAGCATGTATATTTAATCGTGAAGAATGAATTTTTATTCTGTGAAACTATTACGAAGAAATTGGACAGGAACGAAAATATCAAAAACGTTAATTTTATCGATAATACAGGCGGCTCCAGCATCATCCTTAATTCTACGACTCTATATAAAACAAATTAAAATTATGGCATCTTTGCTTTGTTCGAATTCTCCCGCATTAACTAGAAGACAATATGGCGGATGCACATTCCTGCTTAATACAGTACCGTAGTCGGTATTGGCCGATCTCTACCCGTAATCCTGTAGACGATACCCATCTACTGATTTATTGCCGAATCAGCATAATCCCCTGAATTGTTTAGGAGAGTGTTGGACAGCGCTTATTTAACATTGTATTGTATATAAAATAATAGTAAAACATTACGCATTTTGGCATTGTCAATCTAAATTCGTTACTTAAATTCGTGATATTTATTTTTTCTTGTACATTACGTCTTTTTTCGGGTTAATTCAATCTTAGGATATCATTACCATTAGAAAGATGGTAGATATACATCTGTACGACTCAACGATCTGTCGTTTGTGTGCGGCGGAAAACGGCAACGAGCATCTGTTTATCAATGAGACAGGCGAGTCGGATCTGTGCTCGTTGGTGAATCGTTACTTGCCGTTGAAGGTAAGGCATCGTGTTTTCAAAACGCCGGTTGTATGGATTGCAACTTGATTTCCTACTCCAATTTTTATGTTTTCCCTACAGCTACTGCACTGATCAAATGTTTATCATTTCATGCATCGCATGTTTGATTATTTCTCAGTTCTTTTTATTTTTTATTATGATCTCTCTCTCCCCCCACCTCTCTCTTTCCTTCCCTTTCTCACTCTCTCTCTCTCCCCTTCTTTCTCCCCCTCTCCTGCCTCCTTTTTGCTAAACAAAAAATTATTTTATTAATATTATTTTAATTGTTTATATTTTGAATATTATTACTTAGATATAAGTAATCAGAGATGAACCTTTTTTATTAAAAAAATATATATACATACATATATATATATATATATTGTTTTTGTTTACTTAAATTTCTTATATAATTCATCCTTTTTCTTTTTTCCTCTAACATAGAGAAGAAAGACAAAAATAAACTATACAAGAAGTTTACCTAAAAAGAATAGGCAATATTATTTTCATTTTGTATGTGGACATTAGAGTAAAATATAGACTATTATAGTATAGACTATAAATTATATATTTACTTACATATAAATTTAAGATTTATGACGATGGAAAATTACCACGTACAATTTGTCCGGGTTGTAATATTCAACTGGAAGCAACTGTACAATTCTTTGAATTATTGGTGGCTGGTCAGCGTAAAATACGTGAACTATGGAAATATCAAATGGAGCAGCAGCGAAAAGCAGAACGTTTACGCAATAGAAAGGAAAATACAGAGTTTGAAGAAATAGAAATGAATAGTACAGGTCATAATGAGAATGACCAATATGAGCAGCAAGTAGTTATTAAAAGTAAGAATTTTTTTTCCTTTTTCTTTTATCTCTTAAATATCTTATTTTTCCTTGTTTTTCATAATTTTGATCCAATTCCAAAACAGACTTTATAGATACCTTGTATATGATATATTTTATTATTTTTCTCTCTCAGTTATGCCAGATGGATCTATGTACACAGCGGAACATGAAATGAGTTTGCAGATGGAAGGTTTAACTAAACCAAGAAGAAAACGCGGACGTCCACCTAAAGTCCACATGGATGCAGATTCAATGGTTTGTAATAATAAATTGTAACATTTCCTATATTATAATACTTGTATATTATATGTACTTGTACCATTCTATATAAGGTAACAAAAGAGAATCTTGGAGAAGATGTAAGTCAAGGTGAAGAAGAACTGGATGGTGATGGTAGACGCAGAAGGAAGCGTAAAGTTCCTAAAAGGTATGTTATATAATACAGGGCTCGGCAAGAAATGCAACTTTCAGCCGTTTTTCGAATCGACTCCGCCTATCGCTGTCACCCTTACCTCACCACCCGCCAAATTTCAAATTGAAAGTATAAAAATGTATGTTTAATATAAATATAAAAACGGAATTAAACCATGAGATCTGCAATAGATGTTATTGTGCCGTTATGTAAAATCTGTATTTTGTAATTCGAATATTTGCATTTAAACTTTTACACGGATTAAATCTGTGTATAACGGCTTTAATGTACACTAATATGCACTAGTACGACCGAATTCACTATTAGTTTCGTATGTAATGAGCGAAAAAAAAGATAGAATGAAGATTACAGCTTGTCGAGCGCCCCGAACGAATGCTCCTTACGTCTATGAACGTCTTAGTACGATCCTAAGTGTCGCGCGGCATTTGGATTGCGCGCGGGTGGTGAGGTAAGGGTGACAGCGGTAGGCGGAGTCGATTCGAAAAACGGCCGAAAGTTGCATTTCTTGCCGAGCCCTGTTATATATTATAAAATTTGTAAATTATTATAATCTACTAATTAATAATTATATAAATTATAATGTAATTTACATGATTATTAATGTTTAATAAATTTACGCAGATTTTTAGAAGCAGTGCAGGGAAAAGAATTGGAAAGGATATTCAAAGAAGAAGGTGTGATTGATGACGAAGATGACGATTCTGAAATGTTTGACAATCCAAAAGATTTGTTAAAATCTAATCATAATGGTCAGGAAGGTATACATAATGAAGGTATACAATAAAATGTCAAAGAAGAAATTTGAAAAAGAAATTTCCTGAATTTATGGATATTACGTTTTTCAGAAGTAATAGGTCATCTTGAAACAGAAGAGGGTACAGACTTGGGTGAGGTAGTAATTATGAACCGTGGACGAATACGCTCGAAATCAAAACTGCGTCGTCGAAAAAATAAATTTACATGTCAACTCTGTGGCAGGGGTTTCCTACAACGTAGCAGATACATAGTACATAAGTAATATTTCATACATACAGATTATTCTGTGCAAAGATCTTAAATGCTCAAACATAATACAAAAATTCTTTTTCTGCAAATTAAAGGAGCGAGTTTAAAAATAACTAATTGTGGCTGTGTTACACTTTTTGAGTGGGAAAATTTGAGAAACCTTTTAAAAATAATAAAGTAGATTGTTTGAATACTTATGTTAGTGTGATTTTAAAAAATTAATTTTTTTGAAAATTGATTTTACCATTATTCCTTTTCAAGCCACACAACTTTTTTTATTTGAAATATTTTTATATCTATCCTATTTTAATATATTTTGGTATTTTACTTTAAGTAGAACATCCTATATGTTATGTGGTTTCCAGTAGTATGTTCTTACAGTTTTAATTTTCGAAATCTAAGTTTTTTGCAAAGCTTTCAAACAACCTACTTTATTATTTTTAAGGTTCCCAAACTTTCTTAGGTAAACAAGCTTTCTTTTATTTGATTCTTTCATTTATGGACTCTTAAGATGATAATTGTATAGGTTTCGAAGGTGTTCGTTTATGATCAAAATTGGCCATTTTTAGACTCCTTTCTTTTCTCTTTTATTTTTAAATTTTTGTACATGTAAATTATATGTTACAAATATGTTAATTAATAAATTTAGCTCGATTTAGATCGTTTTAATTATTTAAATATGTAAATGTGTTTACATATTTGTAAGTTATTAAAATTTTATATTAAAAATATCAAGATTTTTTTTAGCTATTTATAATTTATAATTTAGTTTTTTAACAAAAAAAAGTTTTGTTTTATTTTAACTGCTTTAGGAGTTTCCACAAGGGTATCAAATATGAGTGTGTACAATGTAAGAAGCTATTTGATAGTAAAGATAATCTGACATTACATGAAAAGATGACTCAACATAATTCAAATTCTTTCGAAGAAAATGTTGAAACACAGGAATTGCAAGAGACGCACAGCACAGAACAGAATACTTCCACGATGGAATTAGAAGTAGCAGAAAATTCCAGAGATGCGATTTATATATGCAAGAAATGTGACAAGCAATTTGGAGTTAAACAGGAGTATGAATTGCACATGAGAGTCGAGCACGAGCAGCAAGAATTCACCTGTAATATTTGTGATAAGAACTTCACAAATCAATTGGATTTAAAAACACATTTAACAACTCACAATGGGGTTTGTGTTTTATGAGTAATAACAATAGTGTTTTATAAAGTTGTGTGACAGTATAATAATTAAAACATTTTTTCAAAAAATATTTTACATCATTTTATGATTTTTTTTTTAAATTACAATTATAATATTTCTGAAGCTTTTAGATTTCTTTATATAATGTTACAGAAAAATAGATCGGATAAAGATTACGCTTGCGATATCTGCGGCAAGGTCTTAAACCATCCAAGTTCCGTCTTATATCACAAGGAAGCAGAACACAATAATGGACGCCGTTTCGTCTGTAATAAATGCAACAAAAGTTTTAAGCACAAACAATTGCTTCAACGACATCAGTTGGTGCATTCGGATAATCGGCCATACGCTTGTAAGTTTTGTAACTCAAGCTTCAAGACGAAGGCAAACTTAATCAATCATCAATCTACTCACACGGGCCACAAAAAGTATCTTTGTGAGATTTGCAAACAACAATTTGCGCACAAGACTAGTCTCACTTTGCATTACAGGTAATATGAACATATTTATCTTAATGTATAAAAATTTCAAAATCTAAAGAGAAAGAAATACTTATACGTTTTTAAGTATTTCTGTAATTTTTAAATAAAATCGTAATTTTTATTTAATTTTTTGAATTTAATTCTCTGAATTAACTTAATTAGTTACTGCCATAAAATAAATATATTATCTTAAAAATGCACCGTTTTAGATGGCACAGTGGTCAAAAACCGTATACTTGTACGGTGTGTCAGAAGAGTTTCTCGCAGAATGGCAATTTGCAGGAACATATGCGCATTCACACCGGCGAAAAACCATACTGCTGTGATTTCTGTGGCCGGAAGTTTACTACGTCGTCACAATTCAAATTGCATGTGAAACGGCACACCGGTGAACGGCCGTGGAAATGCGAGTTCTGCTCGAAAAGTTTTTTACACAAAGATACATGGAAGTGTCACGTGCGCCGGCATAAGGGAGAACGTCCGTTCCAGTGTAATCAATGCAACCGCCGGTTTACAGAGCAATGGGCGCTGAAGAAACATCTTCGCTTGCACACTGGTAATTGAAAATGATAAATCATGTTCTTTTAAAAGTAAAAGGATGTAATAAACATAAGAATGTAGACGAATGTCTGTTCTTGTGTATTATTTTAATTTTTGTATAATTTGAAAATATATTAATCATTTAACTTTTTGCAGGTGAAAAGCCTTATTCTTGCGATGTATGCGGTAAAGCTTTTGCCGACTGCTCAAATTTGACAAAACACAAAAAGGTATTATAACAATTTTAAATTTTTAGTAATTAGTAATAATTATCAATTTCTGCAGGTACACAGGGAGAATAAGACATTAACTATGAAAAGATCGGAAGGATCTTCGATCGGCCAGGTATGGCAAATTCTGCCGAATTCACAAAACGAAAAGACATTCACTAATCAAATAATAGCCACTGACGAAACATCTAATGATGGAGTCCAACAAATTATTTATGTATCTTATCATACACAGGATTCTGAAGATCTTGATCAATCACAAACATTACATTTAGGTATGATAAATTTTTAAATTATATATAATTATACATACAGACCGACAAAAATTAGAGGGGGCTTGCTTTATACTTTGAAGAATATTCCGTAGAATTTTGATACGTTGAGAATGACTATGCTGTCTGTCTTTTTCCATCATTCTATTTTTTAAATAATCGTAAAAAGGTTTTTATTAATTTTTTTCGGCTAAACAAAAAGTAATATCGAAATCTGTTTTGCAGCATTTAACTCAGAAATGTTCCATCAATAAAAAAAATATTTTTTCGATGCTTATATAGGTATCTTATGCAAACCACAAACAAAATTTGAAAATTATTGAATTTAAACCGCCGAAGCAGTCCGCACGGTACGCGAGTCTGACAGATAGCCACTGAACATATATAGTTTTTTTGGTTTCTATGAATTTTTTTATAATATTAATATTAATATTTTTAAGCTAATATTAAAGAACTCAAATCCTTACCAGCCACATTAAAATTATGTTATAATATAGTAATTGAATTAAATAAAAATTATGTCAACACATAATAGAAATTATTTTTATATCAGTATAGACGCAATTTTAATTAAGTAAATTATTATTATATACGAGACGTAATAAAAATTTGAAATTATAGTATGTCAGAATATAATTTTAAATCACAGAATTTTTATTATATTTTGACATTCTACAAAAATTAAAACATAAGACCCCACCTAATTTTGTCAACTTGTGTTATTTATATATTAATTTAATATTAATTGATCATTTATTAATTCAATTATGGAAATTCAGTTGATGCTAACATGATCAAAAAGAAAGATGAAATAGCAGTACAAGCGAATTCTTTGCCACGTTTAGAAACTAATGAAATTGTTACCCATAAAGTTATAAATAATGCAACCAGCAATAATGAAGAACAGTCAGAGATTGAATTATCGGAATCGGATTTACAGTTGCAGGTAAGAGAAAAATAAATATACCATTTTTATAATCCTCTATTATCTTATTATATTTATCTAAACTATTGAATTGAAGGAAAAGTTACGCGGTTTTTGTTAATTCAAAATTACACACACACGCGCGCACACACAATATCTTTGTCAAAAATAAACATTTATCTTTTATAAGAATATAATAGTAGTAGTATTTATTTACACTTCAGTTTTACAAAAATAGCCAAGAAAGGGACTTGGTTTACAATATTTCTTAAACATTCATAACCCATACAATCTTACGTAAAAAACTTTCCATTATTCTATCCTTATCCTAATCCTTATCCTATGACTAGTCGCAATTATATCATAAGAATATAATAGATAATTGTTATATGTTAATGTGAAAATCTAAAAACTGCGAATAGTTCTAGTTTCATATTCTGACCGAGGTAATATTTTTTGCAATAAATTATTGCGTTATGCAGAATCAGAATGTGTATAAATTTATATAAGAAATATGTAATATTTAAACACTAAAATTTACTTTGACTGTAAATATAGGATTTCTCATTTAATTTATTATTTATATTTTGTATTTACTTAAAAAATTATATATTCATGATTCTTAAATAGCTCGACTTTATAATTAAAATTTCATTTTTATGGAATCTATTATTACTTTCAGATCACGGATGAATATGGAAATCCTATTCCATTGTCTATTCAAGAGGCTCGACAACTTTTCTCACAGGGACATTTTATCAGCCAATTGAACGATAGTCAGATCATTAAAGTTCATCCTGGAATGTTCGCGCAACAACTCCAAGCCTTAAATATCCATGTCGATGAAGATATTGCAGAAGAAAGCGGAATCACAATGCGTTCGAACACGTCTAAGAACATAGAGACAACATCAGCAATTCAAGAAGATGCGGAAGCAATCGTCCAGGCGCTTGAGGTAATTTCTATTATAAACAATAACGGAACCGACTTTTCATCTTTATTTGTTTTACGGTATATAATAAACTTTTTATAAATTCTTCACACCTTGCCGGAGCAACGACTAAACTTTCGATGTTGATAATATAGACCTTTTAACTCCAAACTAAAAATATTGATAATAATGATATCTTTAATTCAGTTTTTTACATTATCGTTCTGTCTTAGATGTATATCCTAGACAACATCCCAGACAATATTATGTTTAAAATGCGAACATAAGACGTCTCTTGAAGATGTCTTATGATATTAATTGATTATTAATAATGTTATTAGTACGTCATTGATTAGTCATTTATCTGACGTCAATAAATATAATGTTGTAATACGTGACGTCATTAATTGGTTAAAAAATTGGCGTCATTATTACATCTTAAATAGGTCATTGATGTCAATAATTTAAAATGACTCTCGATGTCAAAATGACTACAGCTGCTACCTGAGTTATGTCATGAATTTTACTCGATAATTTATGTATATAATAAAATTTACAGTTGATAATACAAGTACACATGTTCCAAAGCTTGGATAATTTTCAGATGTCTGTTCAAAAAATGTGAAAGATGTTTTTTGATATTGTTTAATTTTAGTTTATTTTGGCTGTTTCGATATACACTACCGAAAATCTTGCAATACTGATACTGGTTCAATACTGGTTTCAATCCAGAGAATATTAAGACGTCTTATAAGACATAGAATATCTTAAAATTCATGTATGTCCAAAAAAGGGACATAAGACGTCTTATGCCCATTTCCATCAATGCAGATTAACTTCAATCTCGTTTCAATTTGTTCTTCGTCTTTTTCTAATTATAAAAATTAGAAAAAGATGAACAGTAAGTTAAACCGAGATTAAAGTTAATCTGCATTGGTGGAAACAGGCATTAATCTTATAAATATTTTAAGGACATCTCTATGGTGTTTGAAAGATATCTTGATGACATCTTTAGGATATCTTATGTCCACCTTTTGCACATATTGTTCTCAGAATAGTATCACGATTTTGTACGTTTGATACAATACAAACTCATCGTTTTGATAATTGTAATTATATCTACAGCTATATTAAATAATGTTAATAAAATAGTTTAACGCTATTTTTATAGGATGAGGATACCGATGCTACGACCGTTGCGACGATCAATCAACTGGGGAATATTGAGCAAGCTGGCTTACCAGATGGTGAACAAGCGATCGAATTCATGACTCAGGATGGACAGAAAGTTCGTGTCTTAACATCGTATCCTATCGATCCAATTCAGCTAGCTTCAGAGTACCTGACTATTGTGTAGTGAAAGAAAAATTAAATGTTCGTGATCAATCAGTCTCTCTTGTGAATGTTTTGACTATCGAGACTTTAAAAATTTATATGGAAATTTATAATAACAAAAAACTTCCAAAGTTTACTATCTTCATTAAGTTTCTAACACAATTGTATTAAATATAATCTTGCTACCTGTAACGTTTCTATTGGATTAGTGGTGCAGTTTATTTAAGATAAGATAAGAGCGGAACTACTATGTCTAAGCGCAAGATCTTTTAAATCACTAATGCTCTTTTCCAATGTAAATTAACTTTGATTTCGGTTAATCTCTTTGTTCATCTTTTTCTAATTTTTAGAACTAGAAAAAGACGAAGAGTAAATTGAACTGAGATGAAAATTAATCTACATTGGTGGAAATGGGCATTAAAAATATAAATGCGAGAACATTTACAGATCGAAGAAAAGTGTACACAGAACTATAAGTATTATCACAACTGTTACATATTCCGTTAACTATTTTCACCAACTGTTAGTGATAACACAATGATAATTGGATTTTTATAGTGATGATAATATTATTATTGCTATAAAATATCAGTTGTTTATTTACAGCAGTTTTTATTTTAATTTTAATAGATAAATATTTTACAAAATATATATATGAAAGCTAAACGTTTCAAACATAAGTTTTTGAACGGTTTTGAGGAATCTATTTTTTTGATCATGCTATTCCAGGTAACAAGGTATCTATTTGACATAATTAATTATATAATTCCATTTTAAAAAGTGTAGATGACCTTTATAGTAGGGGAGGTCGAGAGGCTAAATGTGGATTTACTCGAGCGTCGTGGGGACCTATTGGATTGTGAAGATTAGATGCTAAAAAGAAAAAAAGGTTATATGATGTATGCCGTTTCAGTGGTGGAGGGAGCGTGTATAGGCTTTCAAAAAAAAACAGTGACAATGAAATACTCGAGCGTGTCAGATATTAATAGTGTAAGCGACCCATGTGTTTCTGATAACGGATAAATATTAATCTGACGGTTTGCGTGGTGGAGTTAGCTGTAGGAAGGGGTCAAAAAAAGGGGGAAAAAAAAATTTCCTCGAGCGCGTCAGATTTTTGAAATGTACACTTTTCTACATGTAATTAACACACCATACCTTAATCTGACGCGCTCGAGTTTTCGAACGATCGATTTTTTTTATTTACTAATCCCCTGGACCCCCGGCTCTATATAGAGGTTTAATATTTGGTGGGGGTACTTATTAGGGTGCAATAAAGACCTATAAGGTCTTTAGGGTGCAAGCTTTCCCCCTTATGTTATTCTGACGCGCTCGAGTAAATCCCAAAATCCCCGTTTGGCTTCCCCTACTATTATATCTTTTTAGCGCCTTCATCTAGAAAGAATTAACTAAAATTTGTCTTCCTCAAAACCATTCACTCGAAATCATTCCACTTTTGTCTGAAACGTTTTTCTGCATCTTCTATATTTTTCAAAATATATTTGTGTTTAGATTAAAATAAATCACTCCTTATATTGATAATAAATTACATTATTATTATTATTATTATTACTACAAGAAATTGATATACTGATATTTGTACAAAATATATGTATATATTATAGCATTTATAGTCTCATATGTACTTAGATTTATTGGAGCATATACTGATATATACATGCGTGTGCATATGCGTATACATATACACATGTTTATCTAATTATACGTATACAGGATATTCCTTAGAAAAATTACAATATACTTAAAAAAAGTAAAATATCTGGTCAAACAACTTTTTTTAAATTTCTCATGTTTTTCCTAAGGTGAGATTTAAATTTTGCTTAATATTACTTAATTTTTATAAAATTAGATTAATATTTGAAAATTCATTTGAATATTTTTTATTCGAAGAAGTCATTATCACGTGGTGAATCTGTTTAAGGAACACATTGCGATTAAATACCAATCACTGGTCAAATGAGTCCTTTCTAGAGTACCTATTATAGGTACTCTAGTCCTTTCCATTTATTGCAAGCATCTTTTAAGACATCGCCGAACGTGTATTACTTAAAATAAAAGTTATTCATTTTCGCTGTTTTATTTTGTGTGTTGCCATTTTCCTAGAATATCCTGTATAGATTATTGTACATATGTATACAGTCTTCATAATATATGCATATTTTGTAACATTTATCTTTCTTGTACATGTCAGCGACATGTATATAAATTTGTGGGTTATATTAATTTACCTTCTGTGTACATATGACTGATGTTAGATACACAATCTTACAACATAGATAATGTGGAACGTTCTCTATTATGTAAAATTTTAAATATACCTTGATTCTAACATTCAGCTACATTATTGTAAATTATGTTGATTTATTATATATTGAACAACATTGTATACATACATGATATTAAAAAAGGAAAAAATTGAATTTGTATGAAAAATGTTCTCCAAATAATCCTCTTTTTTTGTTTTGTAATCAAGCTTTTGAATAAATTTAGTAGTTTTCAACAGTTTTTTTTTTTTAATTATTTTTATGACAGCGAGTCTCCTCACAATGGCAAGGTAACACACCACGAGAGGGAAACGGGGGATTTCTTAGAAATTGAAATGGATAGAAATGAATTCATATAATTATTACCGAATCCAAAATTTTGATTTTTCGGGTTGCTAGGAGAATCATCGGATTCAGCGGAAGGAAGAAAACGCGGCGACTTGCTGCAGTTCGCAATCAATTTCATTGAGAAACGGGATATTGTCAGGATTCGAAGAGTCGTTTTTTTTAATTTTTTTTATTTTTAGAAGACCGTCTCGCCAGCGGTTTTTGATCTGCGGTTTTTTCGCAGGACAATTGAGTAAATACCGTTGCGAGAATTTGGGGAGTATGTGTAACAACTCTGCTTGGGGAAGTCCTGCAGGACGGCGGTACTACGGAGAAGTTAAATTCCCCACCCTCGTTCAAAGAAGGAAGAAAGAAATGCAGCACAAGAGAAGAGTCAAGAGGAAAGAGGCTGAAGGGATGTCCTAAATTTGTTGGGGAGACTATCTATCTCCTGTGGAAGGTCGAAAAGGATCCTGCTCGGAAGTTTTGGAGCGTCAAGAGAGAAGAGAGGCGGTGCTCGATAATCTGAGAGGCAGCATGGAGTAGATTTTCTTTGGTCAAATAATCAAATTATACCATGAACAGGAATAGCGAACCAGTGGAGTAGCAACCAATCAGCAAAAGATTGTGATGTAAATAAACAAAATATCGCCTTGGTGATTGGTTGATCCACGTGACACGTTCAATGAAAACGAAGCTTAATTCGGCTAGGTGTGTTGAAATACCGGATAGCATTACCCATCTATGGTTTGGTTATCATTTTTCCGTTCAATGACGTAAAGTTGCCATATTTTTTCTGCGGATGCTTGCTAGGGGGTCAAATCGAATTGTTGGTGTTCGGAGATGGCTGTACAAGATGGTTTGCGATAACCAAATGGTGCGCGTAATGAACGATTGAAGAAGGGATCGAAAACAGGGCGCGTCATTTCGGCAGGTACACACTCGTACCGATATAACGATCGCTTAAAACTCGGCAAGACATATCAGCCCTCCGCACGGAACAGCTTCTTGTGCGATGAGGGAAAACTTTACGTCACGAGTTTATTCGCGAATGGCACTGTGGTGTGTCGTGACGAGGTTATAAACCTAAAAATTTAGGACGGTACGCAACAAGGAGTCTTATGTCTGTAAACGTTTAATGAAAGCGTTGTATTGCTTCTCGCATTTCGTCCGTCTCGCGTCATCCCCCCCTTGACGATTTTTTTACATTCCACATTCGCGATTGCGGTGTCTGTGGCTCGTTGCACTATTTTTACCTCCGTACTTTTTTATTCGGACGCATTTCTCTTGTTGCACGTTTTCGCCGAATATTTCATCTATCTTTGTAGCAGTTACGTAATTTTCAATGTGAATGATGCAGATACGTATGATCGAGAGCGAAATTAATGAGATTGTAGTTTCGCGCATTTATGCGTGTCGGTAGATTTGCAAACGACAAAGGTAAAGAGGATGAAAGGAAAAAATTTTGTTTCATATATTTCAGATATTGACTGATTTTTTTTTTTTAATTACCGTTTCTTCTAGAAGCTCGATATTATTGAATTAGGATTATTATTGTTTTCAAGTTACTTAAATGATGAGATATTGGAGATATTGGAACATCTTTACAAAAGTGTGGTATTACAGTTTTAAATTTACTTTTATCTATTTGCTCGTTCTATCTACTCTTATTTCTCATATCTTTCTACATTTTCATTTTTTTAAATACTTTTAATTATCTCTTTATCATTACTCCTTTTTCCTTTTTTTTTAATCTGATTTATGATAAAATTATAGCTATATAGCGTACAGATGAGAAATAGATTGTTTTCTGTACATTTATCTTAGGAAAATGTTAAAATCTTGTTATTCTTAAAATATATTATATATATCTGAAATTTGTATATAGGAGATTGTTACATTGTGCAATTATAAATGTGAGAACCTCTGAAAAAAATTATTTGTATTACAGAAATTTTATCGAAACAATGTGGTATAAGGAGGTAAAAACCAGTAACAACAATGGAAATGTCATCTCTAGATTGTGGTAAAAAACAGCGTTATCTACAAAGCGACATGTCAGATTCGTCGCGATACCTCTATGGCCATCTTCCTCTAGACATTATGCCGAAAGAACTTCCCAACAATGGTAATTTTTGGCTGAGCAACATGTTTTGTGTGTGTGTGTGTGTGTGTGTGTGTTTTGTTTGTTTGTGTTGTGAGTATCAAGATACGATTTTATGAAAAATTACAAGAAGCATGTTGCTATATGTGGATATATACTTGTATGTGCTCATATAGACATGTGCCTTTATTGTTTACATACATTTTTTTATTAGTCAGTATATTATATTTACATATGTATAAAAAAATTTCTTTTTAGGCATAGGAGGAAAATTATGCCAGCTCGAAGGCCTGTTTATCGGTGATTCTGCTCAATCAAGTGGACGAGCCGGTCATGTTGTTTCGATCGAGACACTTATCGATGTT